CACACACATTAGGCCTATATCTTTAAAGAAATTTAGCCATTATCATGGAGAAGGATATGAATATAGCGAACAGTAATTAATATCAAAGTCCATAAAACAATACAAAATAGAAGCAGAGCAAGAACGGACCTCCGAAACATCAGAGGTTGGATCAGGTGCCATGGAGGAGTGAGCATCCCCTGCTGACCGGTCACACCCGCCGTGTGCTCATTGTCATGATCGTGAAATAACGGAAAAATCCGTCGTTAATTCAGTATATAAATAATGGACTAACAATTGGTATGAAAATCGTCAGTCAGCATTTGACTCAATGATAAATTGTATTTGCTGACAAGGTCATAGAACTTAAGAAATGATGACTTTAAACGAGACTGCTGATATTCTTGTTTCATCAACTTGATTGTCAATAATTTACCTCGTTTTAGAAATTGTTCACACCTAGAGCATGCTCTTGCGTATCGAATCAACTAAATAATATATATACTCCGTATGCAGGTGATGAAGGAATATTGCTGCAAAAGAAGGGGAAGTTGAAGATAGAAAAGTTCAAGTCATTACGTTTATTATAAAACTTGATTGTTAGGTAACCATTAACTTCTTTTTCAAGTAAAATATCAAAGTATGAAACAGATGTGTCAGACTCTGTAGTATCTTTTATCTCAGGCTCTCCTGGATATATCATATCGACGTAGGAATGGAAATTACCATTTCTAATTAGCAATACGTTGTCGATATATCTGAAGGTCGAGTTGAAGGCCAAAGTAAGTTTTTTTCTTCTTTTCACGCATTAGATAAGGATAAGGCTTGATAACTTTGCTTACTTTGAGTTTTTTATTTCAAACTCTCTCTCTCTCTCTCTCTCTCCGCAGAATTGTTAAGGCTTGAAAAAGGGAGCGGGACCTAATTTATACGGGAAATGTTTACTGTGATTTTACATTGTTTACATTGGATTTAATGTATTACTCATAAAACCAGAAAATGAAATAATTTGCAACTTTAAACAGTATTACCATAATACACAACATTAAAACGTATAAAAAATGCATTAAAAAAGTTGGTGGTTAAATCTCATACAGCTGGTTATAAACAAATCACTGATCTCGATGAACTTGTCGACATGACGTCATTTTGGTAGAAATGACGTATTTCATGTGCTGTGAGAGGCAGATTGAGGTATTTTTTTAACAATAAAAAATGCGTTTTATTATTAGACCGAATATTATTTACGGGTTATAAATAAGCTATTAATGCAAATGTATAGCCTCTGTTTAGTGTTTTTTTTTTCATTAAAGCTATATATGCCGTATTAGTGTTTTATTTTAAAAGTAATAAATATATGTGGTGTCTTATCAAGTTATATAAGTTATATACCTTCTGCAAATAAGACAATTTCCCTCCATCACTTTTAAAAGTTATGAAATATTATTTGGTAAAAATTACTTTCTTTCCGTGTCGGATAAAAAACCGCCTCTTATTGAAATATTCATGATCACGTTGTCTCGCATGTTTACAGCAAACAATGGTCCAATCTCGTGAATGAACCGAAAAGCATGATGGTCTACTACGATATTACTACAAACACGTGAGTTAGGGATTGTCAATATTGAGAGCACCTCAGAGTTGGTTACTTTTTGTACGGAGGAATAATCACGTGCAATTGTCTTTTCAATGGACATTTTCGGTTGGGTGAACTTCTACAGATGTCAGCGACTATGGATAAAGAAGTGTGGAAACCATGTTGTGCCAAAATGAAATAACTAATACAAACAAATGATATTATTTGATCAATCAAAATGGTTATTAGATACATTCGATTCTGCATTTCTTAATGGTTCAAAACAACAAAAAGTATTCCATAGAATATCATGTATAAATCTGCACAATATACCGAATGCCAAAACCAGAATACTACTAAATAATATAAATATATTCTTTACATATGAACCACAGTATTTCTGACCCCTCGAAAATAATATAAAAAATCTTGCAAGTAGGTTATCAGCATTGGCTCGGGCTAATTCGAAAGTGAAATTTGAAGTTTGGCAGTAAATTGTAGTGAATGAATAAAATTTAGTCATATTTAGTAGTGAAAGATATTGGAACCTATTTTACTTGTCAGATTTCTTCGAGCTAGTTGATTTTTATTCTAACTGTTTTATCCCCCACCCCTCGGATGAGACCGTATAAACCAAGGCCCCGTGTCGCAGTAGGTGCTGGCACGAAAAAGATCCCTCCCTGCTCAATGGCCCTAAGTGCCGAGTTTAGGACAAAATTTGCAGCTCTCCACCGGCAAATGGTGGCGTCTCCATATGAGTAAAAAATTCTCGAGAGGGACGTTAAACAATAAATCAATCTATTCCCCCACCCACTTTAAAAAAAGCCCGATGCTACCTACCTGAATTAATTTTTCTTAAAGGTGTTAATCGTATTGCTTGGTTGTGCCCTCAAACTGGAATAGTTTTTAGAGGCCTGGAATTCCTTGACCAATTTTATTTTATTAGCCCAACTATATTTCTAAGAAGGCAAGATGTATGGTATGTAAGTTTCATCTACATATGTTATGTAGTTCATATTAGAAAACCAAATGGGATAATTGACGATATCCCATTCACGGTGTAAACATAGCAATTTAAATTACTTTCCATACATTGTACTTGACATAAAATATTTTTTTGCGCATAATGCGCTCCATACTGAAGATCTGTAAATGTTCACCCATCCACTAGCAGTACAGCACGGGGAAACTCTAAACAAACGGACCTGTACAATGGAGTGGGGAAAACTTTAATTTTCATCATTGTTAATCATTTGTATGCAAATATGAGCATGGGATTAGTAGATAAAAATGTACATAATGCATCAAGTCTTTCTGAGAGCGATTTAAAAAACTAGCCTTTTTGAAAAACACATGTAGTATTTTATGTAGTAACCCATAAATGCATTAAATGCAACTCATTGAGCTGATTGGTCTACTTGTGTCCCTCACTGAACAGACGTCACAAAATATATTTTCCTCGACCTGGCTATGATTCTCTCGATGCTTTTCCCGCGTACATGCGCAGATCCAGGATAAACGTCGATCCTTTATAAATATGCATGAGAATATCGTGTTCTTTTCCTGACCAGTACTTTGTTAATACCGAATAAAATTTCGTCGAATTTGCAAGAATGCTTCATTTTTGGTAGTTTATCACACTCCAGAAATTTTTGTTCGGTTTCAGCTGTGCACAAATACTATTTAACACGGCATACATATCTTTAACTATCGAAAGAATGTATTTAATTAATTTTGTCGTGTTTCTATGCACAGGTTAGGAATATTTTACATCAAGATGCCTCATTAAATGTTTTTTTTTTTTTTTTTTTTTTTTTTTTTTTTTTTTTTTTTTGCATGGGCATACACTAAATTCATCTTAACAATTTTTTGTATTCAATTAAAGGATATTTTCCTTAACTTGAAAAGTGCTGCTGCTTTTTTTAAATCGAGAGCTCGACTTAATAAGTACACACAATATTTGGTAAAAGTCAGACATATTTCGACATGGTCCTATTTACTTGAAATTTTAATTATAAAAACGTGAATTCTATTCAAAGCATCAGCACTTGCAAGAAAGTATAAAGTATGCAAAAATATTTAATAGCATGAATTTTTAATTTCAACTAGGGTATGCCCTAGCGATATTGAAATTTGTTATTGACCTACAATTAGTACACGTAGTATGTATTCACCACGTGACTGTCCATCGATGGGACCAAACTTCATACAGTACAGAGTAGGTTATACTAGGCTATTTCCATAAGTGTTTGACTTCTGTGACGATAAAACAGCTTAAGAAAAATAAATTCAGTTTAAATTAAAACACTTCACATACACTCCATAACATATTAAAACGGATTTATGTTCACCTGACAGCAATTAATATTTGTATATCAGAAGAGTATTGAATTAATTTAAGTTTGTCCTATAATAAAGATTGTGGATGTATAATTATTAAGTTAACTAAATGGATCACTTTTCCCCCACTTTTCACAAAGATGAAGCAAAACGTATAAAACAATACGTTAGTTTTATTTTTGAGGCATTCTACTAATTTTTTCCCACATTAGGAGTAAGGGGTAACCATTGGAAGAAAATTTCTGTGAATGTGCACAATGAAATGATATGGACAATTATGCTTGAGGATAACAAGTATTCTGTGATGTCAATGTCAATTGCACATACATTGTATTTAGACAGTGTTCCTAATATGAGCAACACTTTCAATTTAACGAGGCGCAGTCCAATTATTTCTGCACAAGGGATTTTTATAATTTTTTTTACAATTATTTTTTCTGTTATATTCATTGTTTTAAGATTAAAAAATCAAAAGTATACATTCCTATTTTTGGAGACATCTCAAAAGGTATCAAATTTAACAATTGGACCCTGTGGGAATTTTTCAAAAAGCTCCAAAGTATCACATTTTCACCAAATTTTTGGTGTTTCTGCCTTAGGAATTTTGTTATTCATTCAAGTAGATAAAATTAATAGTATAAAGTGACCAAAGTTTAAAATTTTTCATCTAGGTTGGTCTGTGAATTAATTACTAAGATTATCTTTTCAAAGCCCAATATCTCTAAAATTGCGATATAATATATTAAAACATATTAGAGCAGAACAAATTATCAGCGCATGTGATTTTTTTTTTTTAAATAGCAATGTTTACATTTCGAATATCTTTATTTTGATGGTTTTTCATCAGTTTAAAGCATAATATCCATTGACATCTTGAACAAAGCGTCATATATTGTTTACAAAATCGGAAAATTGTGACGTCTATAGAGCCATTTCAGCCTTTTTTTTTCTTTTTTCTTTTTTTTTATACATTTTTTGTCACGAAATCACATTTTCAGACAAGAGGGGTTACAGATAATGTTATTTTTGTATCAAAATCAAAACATCCAGCAAAAGTATATTGTAATAGTTGATATTTTTAATTCGTAAAATTTTTATATTAAGGAGTAAACACTGCTATATACAAGTGATAAACTAAAATAGATGAAAAGCAATGTGGAAATTACTGTCACTTTCCAATAAGATTTCCAACTATATCCGGACTCCCAGTATCATTCCGGGTATAAATGTAAAGTGGTGGGTTGTGACCTTCAGGCAGTGTATAGTAATTCTGACCGTCAACACTCCAACAAATTGCCTCTCCAAGTCCTTCATCATGATATGGAACTTCAATAGGTGTCGCAGTCATTGACGTCAAGACGTCACCGCCCTTAATTTTCCAGTAAAAGATGTGGTATTTTGATTTGATAAGGAGTTCGCTACCGTCCATGGAAATATCGCCAGAGACTGGGTCGTTGTGATCAGTATGAATAGGAAGAAACTGGGATGAATCAATATTGACTGGGTTAGGGCTTCCCCACGCACTCTTTGGGAGATTGGAAATCATTCCACGCCCGCTGCATATATATCCTATAAGGTATACCTCCCCTTTGGGATCGACCATCAACGTTCCTGATTCCTTCTCTGACCATCTGAAGGAGAAATGGCAATTATAATTTTTTTATTTTCATGTGGAGATTGACCATAAAAATTAAGGATTTAAATGTGTAATAAGCCACTTCCGGTTAAAATGCCGAGGTATTTGACATCGGCAGTTCTCGTAACATCTATCTTCGTAAACAAAATGGCGCGTCGTCAAGACGGCATAGGACGCTATCATAAAACTTACACCAAAGGAACAGATTATAACTAATCAAAGGAAAGAATTGATATGATATTAAATAGAAAACACCTTACTATAATTTGGTTTTCAAAATATGCAGTCAAAACGATGTAATCTTCATATACACACTACACGGGGTTTTCCAACTTCTAAAATTAGCACCGATTTCGAAAAAAACAAACGAAGTAATTTTTCATTGTAATTTTGTGATTCTCTTAACACCAGCTAACAGTTTGAGAAAATAATGTATGTAACAATATCAATAGCATTGCGTTTATTGTGGAATCTGCAATAAATCGACAGATGTTGCGTACATATAATCCCTACATAATGTAATATGCTGGAATTGTGCAAACCTGTGGCCGTGCTAAATGATTCTCAGGATTTGTGAAATATCAATGATTTCTAGAAAAATAATTGACAAAACAGACTTAAGGTGGCTCATTACATCCACAGTTTATTTTAGATTTCAGTACAGCACCACTTATAATGTAGATGTCAAATATCCAGATGGGGGTATTGTATCATAATTATTTTTTTATAGAATTTTTTAGTTTTTGTTTTATTTTTGTGAAATGTTTTATTTCAGGTTTATTATTCACAGAATTTCAGAACTTTCAGTGTCAAATGATGGGCATCTTCTTCAGACAAGTACACACAGTTAAAATACCTCATTATACCAAAAATAATTTTATTAGAAAAAAAAATTTTCTCCTAGAAAACAGTTAATGTCATTATCTTTTTAATCTATGCATAGAACATTTAAAAAATGTGTTCTGAAGAGACAAGGAATGTATTTCAATGAATTACATGTGTCAAATTGAATGAAGAAAGTTTAAACGAAATGAAAAATCGTATTTAAAAAATATTTGGTATAAAAAGTCCACTTTCAAGAGTTATCTTTCCTAATTAGCCAAGACTCAAAACACTATGGAACGTTTGACATTACATCTAAAATTCAGAATAAAGCTTTAAATTGCCAGAGTATACATTTAAATCAATAAAACAAATATTTAAATCAATAAAACAAATATATAAATTAACACCAACACAGTAAATAGCGCAATTAAATAAAATTTTAATTTCAACAAGGTTGTAGATTTTAACTCGAATTTCCTCCATACATACATGTTAGTGATTGATAGAGTTCACTGCATGCATGGCTATGAAATTGACATTACTTGTTTGGCGAAGATTTGACTGTTGCCTTCTTTTGTTTCTGCCTAAAAGCAATTCTTCTTGGTCTATGCATAATGAATCCGTTACTTTGTTTTCACTGTTTACAACACCGCATGTTTCATCTATTTTTAAAGCGTTTTAAAGGTCAGGGTCATATTATAGAGGTACCTATACAACTCGTCCCCTGAGCAAACCGGTCGACACAATGGAGGTTTATTTTTTTGTGTAGTACGTCATCAAAAAGTGGTGTAATGAGCCTCCTTAAGATATCTAGATACTCATGCAACATACATTAATGTCACGTTCAATTGTCCATGTTATCATACATGAAACATGTTGCGTGAAATATCTGAGATGATCAAATAGATAGATCAGTAAATAAATGTAAAAATATGTTTAGAACTTTAACAAAAAAATAATATCAGTTATGAGAACAAAAAAAATTCAGGGTGAATTTTATCTGTGTGGGTTTTTATTTACTTATTTTTTGCAAAAGTTTAGCCGCGTCGGAAAGAGGGGGGGGGGTAACATATTTATTTATACATATTTTATTAATTTATAATATATGTGAGGCACAATATCGTTTTTAAAACCCTTTGATCAGTGTTTTGCTATCAGTCAGATATGTTTTAGCCTTCATTGTAAAGTAAATATAAACTATGAAGAACTTTTTACTTATGGGAACTGCAAAAATATAGTTTATTTTGTAAACTCTCGTCTGGGTTAAGGTCAATGTGAGAAGAGGTCAATTTTCTGAACAAATAAATCTAAAGTGAATTGAGTTGAGTATGACAATCATCTTTTGTTTATATATGCTCAAGCTCATTAGTTCATTCATTACAACCTATGTACCCTATACCACGAACAAAAAAAAAAATAATGGCTTACATTTCAGAGGGTACATCACTCTGATGTAGAATATAGATAAATATTGTGGATAGAATAATTCTTTTTTGTGGTTATATTATCACAAATACATGTCACACAAAATTTACTATGTTTTCTTGAACATCCCAACAATATTTTTCTTTGGCAGAATAATGTAAACGGTTTTATAACAACATATTGCTAAAATTGTCAAAGAAATCAGACAGGTTCTCTCGATTACAAGTATTCATTTATCATAATTAATGACTTCGAACTAAAAAAAATTGAATGTCTACAATCCTAGGGCTTATTTTTACAGTTAAATACATGAAACGTTAAACTGTTCTCTGGCTAACTAGAAAAATTACAACTCTACCCTTTGTTCATTAAGTGTGCACCACTGGCGAGAGGGTACAGTTATATAAATGAGCACATAAGAAATATGTATGGACAAAATTGCATGAAACTAAGGGAAATATTACCGAAAGTGCTGTTCATTATAACTATGCTTAATTAAGTCATATTCAAGGTCATGGCTATTACACCCCTAATACCTTAAATGAACTAATTAAAAACACGTTAACTCTATACGTAATTTCCACATGGTAATAATTCTGCGGAATCACATCAATTTGATCAGCGGGTAAAAATTACGCGGATTCTTTCAGTGCCAAAAATTATATATTGTACACTACACTGTATAAATAAGAAGAAAATGGTATTATCTACCTAAAATTTGTCTGCCTTAGGAACATAGGTTTTTTTCAAAGAACAGCATTCAAATGACTCGGGTCAACATACATGTACGTATGCGGTACCTTCCCGCCAGCTCATAAATTTCGACTTATGAAATAATTCTTGAGGTTTACATACATCAAATTCAAATAAACTTTTTAAAAAAGAATGAATTCCATAAACACATACTTTAGACGTACATCTACAATTATCAGCACTGAGGTCAAGTCATGTGAGGTGGCTGATCAACGCACACCTGTTCATTCAAACAGAAGCTTGGGAAAATCGGTGAATCTTACACGAGTAAAAAAGCCAAACAATTTTCTCTTTGGCCTGAAAGTGTGCTGCCATGTGTAAATGTAATTTTTCAGAAGTTAATGTAAATGATTTTTATGACATGTTATATGCGTGCCTTTAGTTTTTTAAATGAAATATTTAAAGCAAATGAATATTTTAAACTTGATTTCGAGCTAACATGTCATTAACAATTCAATTAATTATACCAGTTAAAACATAAGGGGATCTGGAAAAACTGCAGCAAAACACGGGTCTTGGCGATTCTATAATTGGATGATTGACACATATCCTCTTAAGGACAAGTCCTTGTGGCACGTGCCGTTATCTCTAACTAGGAGTTGAAGATCAAATTTGAGGCAAGGATATTTATAAATGTATGCCGGAGAAATTATTTTTCAAAGAATCGAAATTATTATTTTGTGAATTCTTAAAACTTCTTTGCATTATTTACGGTGTGTGGATATCAAAAATATATATGCATAGAAGATATATTTAACATGCATGTAGACCTATACCTACACAAGTCGTATCTAATAACGTATTACTTTTTTCTTATATTCTCATTCATTTAGTGCAATGTCATTCCTAAATGCACTTTAAGTACGTTGTGATAAGTTTCCGCGGAAAAATGATGTTCACGTTCATAGCGTAAATTAATCCCACACAGATAAAAGTACATGAACACTATATAAACCCTATATGTGTAATGCACTGATCTGCTTAACTTTCTCATATCTCTTGCTATATCATTTACATATAGGATGTAATGTCAATGATTTATACTAAATACAATCAACATTGGATCTTACTTCAAAAAAAGGTGTCTTATGAATCTTTGGAATCTTTTTGCTGTACTGCTGAATAGTCAAAATGAAATCTTTTTTAGTTGAAGATGGCTATTTTGCTTTTAATTAAATCATTTATGAATGAAATAAAGTTAAAAGGTAAATCTGACTGACTACACGTCTTTCTCTAGAATATCGCTTTAAAAGATATAATGAAAATTTACCAAAATAAGTCATGTTTTTTCTTACGTGTATCGAGCAGTGGAATCGAGGGGTAAAACTTGATCCATATTCCTAATAATGAAATCGGGCTCTAGCACTCTGTATATTGTGTTTTTTGGAGTTGAATGTTTTTTGCCAGAATCAGCAATGTAAATACAACTGGAATTTCCACACGGACCGACAGCAATATCCTCCCAATCATGATTCTTGGCATTTGCAATTCTTAATGAAGCGATCAGAGCCCCGGATGTTGCGTTTATTGCGTAGATATAGGGACCCCCGTTTCCATCGTTGTGGGTGTATAGGACATTCTTGAATTTTCGGCTGGCTGCTAGTCCGGATGCATCCGTTAGGTCTTCGAAGATGACACGAGCCACAAGTTTTCCAGCAACAAAATCTAGATGTAAAAAAAATTCCAATTTTAATAATGTCTTGCAATGTATTTTACTCCGTTCTAACAATAAACTTTTCTTACAAATGCTAATTCATATTTTTTTATTTCAATTCCAAGAATTGTTGTGTCGTTATCTTTAAATATTTGAGAATGGAAATCTTGCCAAGTTTCTAAACTACTATTGTCCAGCACAAATCCCTAAGAGCAAATCTGATTTTTTGCATCAAAACAATGTTTTTAATGTTTTTTTTTTATTTAAATATTAAGTTAATCTTAATTGTTCATATATTGAAGATTTAAAAAAAAATCTAGTTTAGTTAAAAAAAGAACAAAATATAATTTTTACACTGTAGAAATTTTCTTTTAATAGCAAATGTTTTAGGTGAGGGCCTTAATTGCAAACACTTTTTAATGATTTCTATTTCTGAGAGAAAAAGAAACATTCAGCTGCATCTCAAAATACGTAAAAAGTACATAATTCCAAAGATTATGAAAATAAAAACATTCTTTCAATTAATTAAATCAGTTAATTACCTTCCGAATTGTCTATTGTCTGACGTTTCAGTGCCAGTGACGCTGTAATGCTCAGTAGCAGACAAAGATACACGCCGGCCATGTTTGTGTCGGTAGAACTGCGCAAAAGATATCGGGGACCTTGATCCTTGTTAGAAATTGGGAAATACGTAATGGTCACGATGGAATATATTGATATGAAGTTATTTAGCTATTCAGGCAAGAACGATATTTTCTTGTAATCCACCATTAACATTTTTTATTTTTTTTAATAAACTATTGTTTCCTTTTTCCCGATTTCCAGAGTAAAATGAAATTTAAAACAAGGGGCCATATCGCTCGCCTGAGCACTGGTTAGGAAAAAAAACTATGATCGAACATTTTGGCCTCATCCTTCCCCTAGGGTTCATGCTTTGAACAATTTTAGGCAAACCATCATTTGTAACAAGATGGACCCAACTTATAAAACACCGTTTTTATTGATAGTTTGGTGAATAAAAGTTCACCGTGAAACTCTCACAAGTTAAGTCACAATATGGCTGTCAAGATGGATAAGAAAATATACCTTATAGCAGGTTATTCTAGAGGGGTGCTAATTTTAAATGTGTGGAGTTTTTTGCGTTTTGACATAAGCCCGCTAAATTTTAATCTCTGAAATATTCATGGATCAGTACGTTTTAGTGTTCATCTGCTAAGAGCTGACACTCTAAAATAAATCAAGCCAAAATTTGTTGCAGACAAAAACCAAAATTTAGACATGCCAAGAAAACCCGTTATACGGTATCGAAATAATTCCACAATATGGGTTTTGTATTTTTTTTTTATCTGTTGAAAAATTCATTAAAGTTCATTAATTTTCTTTTATAACAGTATACTAGTATAATTGGTTAATGCTGTGTACAAAAGGTCAAAAGGCAAAAGAAAGGTCAAAATAAAGAGGCTGTATCTGAAAACGTAGGAATATCAAACTACCTTTCCTCATATAGAACATATTTAAACATTAAATCCGTTAGAACATCTACAGAAAGTAAAAAGCTATAATTCTAGGGATCATTAGCTTACCCCCGTTCACACAGAGCTGCGACTCTATGGCGATCATCCCGATCAAGCCACGATCTGATTTTTTTCTTTTTGGATCGGGGCAGATCGCAGCCGAAAGGCGTCTAAATAGAGCAATTTGGCAAATTATGGTCTTCGTTACGACCGTACTACGATGTCCCTACGTCAAACGCGCTGCTAACACGCTTCTACTACGATGTTACGCAGATCGTTGCCGACAAGCGGCCGTGTTTACTGCGTTTCCGCTACGCTGCCACTAAGACATTGAAGACCATACTACGACGCTACACAGACCTAGATGACTATACTGCGATGTCGCTACGGTGGTGCCGATCATATTACGTTTGCATTACGCTTCTAGTACGATCTTGGCGATGATGTAAATATATCTTGCAACCGCATATTTTTGTAGTACGATTTTAGCGATGATGCATATCATACGACCGCAGTTAGTTTTGGGCCTTTACCACATGGTTTAAGGACAATTTCAATTATAAATGTAACAAGATGTGAAAATGCTCAAATGTATATGATCATCAAGTATAGTGTCCCCATTTATATGTAGTTTACAGATGATGATTGGTCAAATATCAGCGCTATGCAGCACTGTTAAGGCTAGAAAAAGGGGGCGGGGCCTAATTTATACGGGAAAAGTTTACTGTGACGTCACACCAAAAGTATGACTTTTCTGCATTCCACATATTACCCGAAAATGAAATAATTTGCAACTTTAAACTGTATTAGCATAATAAACAACAATAAAACTTATCAATGCATTAACGAAAGTCGCTAGTTAAATCCCACACAGCTGGTTTTAAACAAATCGCTGATCTCGATGAACTTGTCAATCAAGACGTCATTTTGCTTAAAATGACGTATTTCGTGTGCTGTGAGAGGAAGATTTCGGAAGTTTTTAAAAATGAAAAATGCGTTTTATTATAAAACAGAAAATTATTTACGGATTATAAAACAGAAAATTATTTACGGGTTTTTAACTGGCTTATAATACCAATGTATATCCTTTGTTTAGTGCGATTATTCATTAACTATCGAGAGAATGTACTTAGATAATTCTGTCGTGTTTTTATGTTAAGGATAGGTATATTTTACATCGAGATGCCTTATTAAATCGCTCTTTTGCAAGGGCATACACTAAATAAATCTTGACCATTTTTTGAATATAAATAGAAGATATGTTCCTTAACTTGAAAAGTGCTGCTGCTTTCTTTAAATCGAGAGTATGACTTTATAAGTACACAACATATTTGGTAAAAGTCAAACATATTTCAACATTGGCCTATTTACTTGAAATTTTAACTATTAAAATGCGGATTCTATTCAAAGCAGCAGCACTTTCCAGAAAGTACAAAGTATGCAGAAACAATTAATAGCTTGAATTTTTGATTTCAACTAGGGTATGCCCTTGCGATATTGAAATTTGTTATTGACCTACATTCCGTGTACCTACTATGTATTCACCATGTGACTGTCCATCGATGGGACTAAACTCCATACAGTACAGAATAGGTTGTACTATGCTATTTCCATAAGTATTTAAGTTCTGTGATAAAAGAACAGCTAAATAAAAATAAATTCAGTTTTAAAAACAATGCCCGTTTTTGCACTTCTGTTTTCCGTTGATTTCTCGTAGTAAGCCTTAACAGTGCTGCGTATATAAACAAACTTCTGTCTGATAGGTCGTGATATGATCGGCGTAAGGTCATAGTAGGTCTTCGTAGGTTCATCAGGAGCGTAGAGAGATCGTAGTGAGAACGTAGTACGAACGCAGAGGGAGCGTTGTATAAGCGTGTTTGGTAAGTTCCAACGCTCTTACGGCGCTTTTACTACGATCATAAAGATCTCTCTACGATGCTTCCGCGCTGCTTGTACGATTACAGCGCTTCTACTACGCTCTTTTTACGACTTCACCCCAATTCTTCCTGGCCACGATCCCGCTACGCTTGTTTTGAACATGTTCAAAATAAGCGTGGTGAGAGCGTAGAGGTCTCCGATCATGAAGACCATACTGCGATCATACTACGCTTATGACGACCCAACGACGTTTCTCCTGCGATATGTTACGATTGCCCACGCTTTTGGACACGCTTTGATCGTAGTAGATGCGGCGTCTTTGTGTGAACGGGGTGTTACAGGTTTGGATTACGCAGCTAACAAACCATACTCAACACCAAAAGAGTCCATAATTGTATATTAAATTTATAGCATTTAGATCTATAACAGTTAAAATCTCAAATGATACACAATGATAATGAGCGAGTACAATTAGAATCGAAATTCTTGTTTAAAATCCATTTCCAATTAATTTTTTTGCTATGATTTGACACCTTACACAGATATTTTGCATGTAGTCAAATTAGCCTATACTCAACAAAAAAAATAATAAAAGCGCAATGTTTTACTCATCAAAGAAATTTTGGAAAAATTATATTGAACAACTATATATCTTTTTCATCATTTGATACCTGTGACCTATTTAAAGGACAATATATGGTTTTAGAAGCCAAGTGTTGCATAATTTCCCTTGATTAATCATGTTTATGAAAATAGTGTTTTACATGATTTCTTGCAAATCGGGGGTCTATTTTCATTGATATTTTGGATTTAAAGAAACAATAAACACACCTATTTCATGTAAACCCATATTTAAGACTTGATTGCAATGTTGATGCTGCAATGTCACGCTTTAACAAATATGAAGTATCAAGATACCTGATGGATCTCATTTCTAGGAAATATTGTAAAACATTTATCATTATCTTTCAAAAATGAATTTCCGGAATCTTTTCTCATTCACTCTCCCTTTCTGTCAAATAAAGCTAGTGTCTTTAAAGATATTACACCCCTCTCATCGTGGAGCTAATTACAAGGGGAAAATACACATGTATACTCCATAACGTATTAAAATAGATTAATGTTCCCCTTACAAAAACCAATAAAGGGTTTATAAAAACACTTAATGTTTTTAAATCAGAAGATTCTGCAATACATTTATTTTTTTCCTTTTTAAGATTTAATAGAAAATTGTCAAATTTTATAATATGAAATGCATATGTAGGTAATTATAAAATTAATAACATTATTAGTCTTATAAATTAGATAGTATTATGAAGTCAACTGGAAAGATCTTTAAATTTATAACACTTTCTCAGAAAGTAAGTAAAACTAATTACAGATGTATTTATTTAATTTTTCAGCCACAGCCCTTCCTGAGAAGACTACATGTATTTAAATTTGTTGAATGTGAAAGTTTATTTACTCTTAGCGTCATCATCCAAAGGAACGTGAATGTACACAATGAAATAATTTTGACAATCGTGTATACACGTACATACAAGAGAAATGTTATGTCTGGGGATAAAAAAGTATTCTTTTATCAAAATTAATATGCAACATTATACGGATCAATTTTAAATAATGTTCTCAATATAAGCACATTTTCATTTCAACATCATTTATTAGGGATCAGTTCATTTAAAGCAGAAGCTCTACTAAAATTTTTGAATTAAATTGATGGATAACTTAAAAAAAAGTTACTGTCACTTCCCTATAAGATTTCCAACTATACCCGGACTCTCAGTATTAATCCGGGAATAAACGTAGAGTTTCGGATCGTGACCTTCAGGCAGAGTGTAGTATTTCTGACCGTCAGCACTCCAACAAACGGCTTCAGTAAGTCCATCAATATGGAATGGAACTTCAACCGGTGTTTTTGTAAGTGACCTCATTACGTCACCACCTTCAATCTCGAAGAGATATATATGAGATTTCTCTTGAATTAGGAGTTCGCTACCGTCTTGCCTTATGTCGCCTGAGAGTGGATCGTGGTGGTGGGAATGAACTTGAAGAAACTGGGTGGACTCGATGTCGACTGGGTCAGGGTTTCCCCAGGCGCTGCTGGGAAGGTGGGAGACCATTCCATGGCCATTGTGGCCTACACTTATGAGGTACACCTCTCCTCGAGGATCCACCATTAAAGTCTGTGATTCTTCTTCTGACCATCTAAAGCAAAGAAATTTCTTGTAATCAATTGTGGTACGAGGATTCATTTCTTAATTTATTGATGCATTTTAAAGAGGGACACGTAATTAATTATAAATCATCTTTGTAGGTATGCAATGATTTTCTTAAACTCTTTAATTCCTTTTGTAATATCACTTTCTTTTCGGGTGAAAAATGTCTTCAAATGACAATACTTGCTACTCAAATGCATCAAACTTTACATCTAAATTTTATTTAATGTCTTTTATAAGACATTTATATTTCTATCCAAAGTGAAATCAGTGTAGGGAAGAGATCGCTATCTTGCTTTCAATTGCAGCATCTATGGATAAATCCAAGTTTTAATGATAATGTTAAAAGATGATTCTGATTGACCCTTGAACTAGCCTCACAAAAGTAATTAATGCAAATTTAGACATCAGGCACGTTTTACTCTTACGTATATCGAGCAGTGGAATCGAGAGGTAGAACCATGTTGATATTAATTACATCGGGTTCGAGCACTCTGTAAATTGTATTGGCTGATTTGGAATGTCTGTATCCAGAGTCGGCAATGTAAATACAGCTAGAATTTCCACAAGGACCAACAGCGATATCCTCCCAATCATGATTCCTGGCATTCGCAATCTTAAATGAAGAGATTAAAGCACCGGATGTTGCGTTTATTGCGAAGATATAAGGATCATCTCCCCCATCGTTATGAGTATATAGGACATTTTGGAATGTTCGGCTGGGTGCTAGTCCTGATGCTTCGGTTAGATCATGAGATTCAACATGGGCCACAAGTTTTCCATCATCAAATAATGGAGCTGAAAATGATATACGTTTTATTTATCTGACACTTATCATTGATTGGGAAAACACTTACATTTTTGTAATGTACTATACAAATACAATGACTTAAACAAATATTGAACATTCACGAGAGGCGAGATACATGTGAAAGTTGATTGTCTAAACATTTAATTTCATTCTTTGGCATCTTTTTGCATAGATTTATCAATATTATTTTCAGGAAAAAAAGCTTGTCTGAATGTTTTCTTTTCATAAAGAGTCTTACAATAGTAAATACTACAAATGTGACTTAAGGACAGATGATACAAACTAATTTTTTCTTTGAAAAAGATTTAATATCATGTGGCAAGTTTAGAAAAGTGGATTGTTCTTAGAAATTTTTCTCCTAAGAACTGGAATGTGAAAATATCTTGGAAAACATTAGTAATATTTCAATGAAAAAACAAATATAGAAAAATCGCATTCAGTAAAGGTTTACAGGTGAAAACAAATTTCATAATATGTTGCCATGGCGCTAAAAGTGTAATAAAAACTCAAGAAAAATATACCAAGTCAGGTGAATTTTATTAGGAAATGCTAATTTGTAAAAATCAGCCTATGTGATATTGCTATTTTTTTTTTTTTTTTTTTTTTTTTTTGTCATTTTGATCTTCCTCTTAAAATTCACCTGGCTTGGTATTTTTTTTCTAAAGTTGATATTACACTTTTAGCACCAAGGTAGCATATTCTAAAATTTGTTTTCACCTGTAAACCTTTACTGAATGTGATTTGTCTATATCTGTTTTTTATTGCAATATTACTAATATTTTTCAAGTCTATTTCATTTTCCAGTTCTTCGGAGAAAAAAATTCTAAGAAGCATCCACTTTTCTAAACTTTTGACATGATATTAAATCTTTTTCAAAGAAAAAAGTTGTTTGTATCATATGTCCTTAAATTCTACCTTTAGATGGAAAACAAATCCCACAGAGCACATTTGATTTATTGCTTTCAAACATATATTTTTAAGAAACACAGATATATTCTTTCAAAACCAATTACATGTAACTAATATTGCACTGAGGTTTTATGGTAGGGAAAAAAGTTTTAAAAATCTCTTTAACAAGTCATAATTTATAATATGAAACGACATGTTAAATGTGGAGAGTCCTTGGAGAGTCGCTGAAAATATTTATGAAAAATGGAGCAGAAGCTATTCAGTACGGATCGGGGGAATGAGAAGGGTAAAAGTGAACTTTCTTGATTCTTATAGTTTGCTGTGTCAAAGCGTGTTATCTTCTTATAGCTGCAGATCTGTAGCGTTATGGTTTTATATATTAGTCTTTGACCATCAACTACCTTTCAACTCCTAATTATAGACACATTTTGCAGCCAATATATATAGTTTATCCACCTCCCAAACATTTATAGTTGTCTTTACAGGCAATAAACTCGCTTGAAGTGAATCTTCAGTTATCTAACAAATATTTTTAATCAAACGAGTTTATCATTTTTATAGACGACTATAAAGGGTTGGGAGATGGATAAAATACACAGATTAGTTAAATAATGTGTCTAGAATTAGGAGTTGAAAGGTAGTTGATTGACCGATGCTAGAAAGTGGAGAAATTCTCCCCAAAAGAGCGCAAAAAATATTGCGCCGTAAATTGCACTTTTTTGCACTACCGGATCGGTAGCGTTATGGTGAAAGACAAATATATAAATCCATAACGCTACAGATCTGCAGCTAATCTTCTTACAGAATATTTTGTCAATTGAAAAGGTGAAAAGGATATGTTTTATAAATTGTAGTTAAATATTTTGAACATTCTTTTCAGCAAAAAGGAATTACGTTGGTACAATGTATCTTTGAGATACATGTATACAACCGTCTGGGGGTTTCGACTAAAAGCTATAGTAGTGGTATATCATATATCGTATATATTATAGTGAGATTCCGCTATATTTTCAGTCGTATTTACCCTTGATATCATCGATGTTATTTTTAATATCGATTAAGTTCTCATTTTTTCAAACATATGCAGAAATCACTGCTTGTAATAATGTCCAATCTGCATTGAAAGAGGTTTGTCGACTTAACAGTAGAAAAAAGATCTTTTTCTGCATGGTTTTTGGTATGGAGGTGATAAAGCTAAAAACCTTATTTCTTGTAAACTTTATTTCTGGTATAACCGATATGTCTCGTCTTATTTTTAGTCTTTTTTGAATACTACATGTACCGCAATCGCTGGTGGCTATCATGTTTAAAGTGTATCTTCAATTTAACAAAGTGAAAACTAAATAAAACTCATTATATATTCGGGTGCCTGTTAGTGTCCATTTTTATACCCATCATGACGTGCGCTTTTAAAAACAGCAAGATTGATAAATTAATCGCTCAAATTAATGTGTTATATCCGGAAAAGTAATTCAAACAAACATAATTAAAATATATGAATCAATAAACATGTATTGTCACCGTAGACTTTGTTTCTGCATATTCATTCTAATTCACAAAGGATATGGTTATTAATAGTCTTACGACTTCGTAAACAAATGGTTAACAAAATATGAATTACCCCACATTGTCGCATATCTGCGGTGATTTTCTTTGATCTTTCTGTGGTGATATATCCCATATCACATATGCGATAATACTTTCCACGCCCCTTCATATATCACTGACCCCGTGGGGATCCGGGTTAGAATAGGTCCTCAGTACCTCCTTGCTTGTCGTAAAAGGCGACTAAATGGGGCGGTCCTTCGGATGAGACCGTATAAACCGAGGCCCCGTGTCACAGCAGGTGTGGCACGATAAAGATCCCTCCCTGCTCAAAGGCCTTAAGTGCCGAGCATAGGCCTAAATTTGCAGCCCTTCACCGGCAAAGGTGACGTCTCCATATCAGTGAAATATTCTGGAGAGGGACGTTAAACAGTATACAATCAATCAATCATATATCACTGCAGGAGGCAGAAATCAAATCATGAGAAAAAAAAAACTGATTTTATTTCACAAGTTCATAACCACAGAAAAATGAACATGTCTAGCTATTTCTTAGCCTTTAACTAAATCAAAATACATGTATTTAACTCGGTTGAAAATTCCCAGTCGTTCAAAAGATTCATCCATTTTGAAAATTTGAAAGTTACGGTAAAATCTCCAAACTTTTTATCGTTAAACTCCTTGCTATTTGTTTCTGTGATTTCATATATGTTGAGTGCCTGGCTCAAAAATGAATTGTCAAAATCTTCAAACTCAGTTAAAACTCAAAGTCAAATTCACTAGGAACGTCCGACATGTTGGAGAGCTAGCTTAAAATGATTTTTTTATTATTGAATTTTGACACTCTCAATGAAATTTACGTCATCAGACATGCGACAAGTTGCTTACATCATAGATGCCTCGTACTGTTGGTTATATCGTTTTCGATATAATCAATACTACTCGGCTTAGAACTATGATGTAACCTATACGAACTACAATTCTTATGGAAATAGCATAGTGTAACCTACTCTAGATCTGTACCGTATGAAGTTTGGTCCCATCGATGGACAGTCACGTGATGAATGCAAAGTATGTGTACTGCTGCTTTTAATAAAATTCGCGTTTTAATATTTAAAATTTCGCGTTTTGATATTTAAAATTTCAATTAAATAGGCGCATTTCGAAATATGTTTTACTTTTACCAACCATTTGGTGTTCTTATAAAGTCATGCTCTTTATTAAAAGGAAGCACCAGCTCTTTTCAAGTTAAAGAAAATATCCTTTATTGATATTTAAAAATGGAAACGCTGTAATTAATGCATGGCCTTGCGAAAGAACGATTTAATGAGGTATCTCGATATCAAATATGCCTAATCTGTACATAAAAAACGACAAAATAATACATTCTATCGATAGTTAATGAATAATCGCACTAAACAAACGATATACATTGGTATTTATAGTCATTTAAAACCTGTAAATAAAATCCTGTTTTATAATAAAACGCATATATATATATATTTCTTTGTTAAAAAATTCCTCTCACAGCACATGGCATACGTCATTTTTATCAAAATGACGTCATGTTGACAGTTCATCGAGATCAGTGATTTGTTTATAATTAGCTGTATTGGATTAAACTTTTTTTATTACATCGATAAGGTTTATTGTTGTTTATTATGCTATTATAGTTCAAAATTGCAAATTATTTCATTTTCTTGTATTATGAGGAATACATAACAGTCATAATTTTTGTGTGACGTCAAAGTAAACTTTCCAGGTAGAAATTAGGCTCCATCCACTTTTTTCAGCCTTAACAATGCTGCGATTCAATTAAATTTTGCAATGATTGAAATGAAAAGTAAAAGTACAATGTGCGTTAATGCCACATGTGACATGCTACACATTCTAAAAAATCACGTTATCTGTTAGATCCGCGGGTAAAAAAATAACAGATTCTTTGAATGCCAAAAATACATATTTTACCTAAACTAAAAATTTGAGAAAAAATAGTATGCGATGAAAAAAAAAGAGAAAAAAATATTTCTTTACATGGCCTGGCCCCGGGATCATGAAGCATCTTAAGCTTAAGTCAAAAAATATCTTAGATGCTGAATTTTTTTAGAGGTCAAGCAGCCCAAAATGAAAATGCCTTCCGATTTTGTATCATCAGTCTGCTGTTGTATGCAAATTATGAGTTTCCTTTAACAAGTTTTAAAGATTTTATAGATAATTGAAATTTTGACTTAAGTCTAAGTCTGTTTCATGATCCCAGGGCCTGGACTTTCGCTGTCACGTGTAAATGTAATTTTTCAGAGGTTAAATATAATTGATTTTGATGACCTAATTTTTTGTAATATGCGTGTCGTGAGTTTCAAAAAATTATAAATATTGAAAGCAAATAAATATTTCAAACTTGAATTGGAGCTAAAGTCCAGTTTAACAGTCATGTCATTTACAAGTCAATAATTTACACAACTGAAAACACAAAGGGGTCTGAAAAACTGCATTAAAAACACGGGTCGTGGCGTTTCTATAAATTGGATGATTGACACATATCTACTTGAGGACAATTCAGTGCGACACGTACCGTTATCTCTATCTAGTGGGAAATCAAATTTGAGGCAATGATATTTATGCGAGAATAACTATGTATTACCTTCATCATATCCTCAGTCTTTTAGTGCAATTTCATTTTTAAGTACAGTTTAGGTACGCTGTTATAAATTTCCGTGGAAACATTTCGTCCGAGTTCATAGCGTAAATTAATCCCACGCAGATAAAAGTACGTCTACAGTATAAAGATTTTAATATTTGAGCTGTTCCAAGCAAAAAAAAAAGTAATCTTACAGAACTATACTTCATATTAGAAAAATATTGATTTGCTATAAAATGACGTCATTTTACGAGATGATAGGATATCACCTATTACGTCAGCCTTTTAAATGTAAATTGATGGAGAGGCAAGATACACAATTACATGTATATTATTTTACAGGATAGATGTACAATTAGCAGGGCAATGCTTCGTTATATTATTACATTTAAATCGTATACCTTCTAAACTGTCTTTCGCCAGTAATACTGTAATGGTCAGCAGCAGACAAAGGTCCAAACCGTCCATTTCTGTGTCAATTGATCTGCTCACAGATAACAAAGGCCCCAACCTATGTCAAAGATTGTATTTATATAATGGACATGAGAGAATACCGACAATCTGCAATTAAACACCGATAATTTTTTGCTGTGTTTTCAAGGACAAAATTCATTTTTATCTTTATTCAGACGTTTAAATGTTCACCTAGAAACTCGTGTAAGTGGCGTAAAATATGCCATCATAGGTCAACAAAATGCAACTTTTTGTGGATTCTTCCTTCTATTTTGGAATGTAAATAAAAGAAATGTTAGGAAACATTTCCCTGTAAATCTTCACTTTTATGCTGTGTAGAAATGCTGTGTAGAAACGATCAAAAGGTAAAAATATTCAATGACAAGTTAAAAAAAAACTTGGTGGAAATTGTTATATCAAACTTTTTTTTAAACAATCTCCATCATCTGAAACCTTATTTAAATGGCCAAATAGATAGAACCGATAAAACTCTTGAGAAGGAAAAAAGGAAATAAAAGATAGAAAAGGTAGAAAAGAGACATGGTTCATAACTTGCAAGATTCAACTATGTAGCTTACGACATCTGTAACAGTACAAGTACCTTTAAGCACAATACATGTAGCATAGGCTGTTTCAATTTTTAAACTTTTTTAAGTTTTAGTTTGAAATTCATATTAATTAACCAAACATCTGAATACCAATAGTTTTCAAATAACTGTACATGTAGTCTGAAATTGTCTTGTATTTTACACATGTTTATGCTGACTATGTGAACAGTAACAAGTTCATGTCCCCAATGAGCAATTGTTTATATTTGAATATAATTATTATAAAGTGTAATGAAAGAGCAAATATCAAGAGGACAATGCACAGAATCTTTCTCCAAAACAACTATTATTTATACACCGAACTAACAAATGATTTTGCGGGTATGTTTAGGAAGCATATAAATCATTTCTCGGGAAATTTAGAGTTTTTAAAGAAAATTAAGTTTGATAAATTACCAAAACCAGTGGTAAACGTAAACTTTTATTAAATATTACAAACAGATAAAAGAGTGTCTAACGCAATAACGTGCGCCACCACTACAGCATTAAGTGACTTCTATTAATAGCGATATGTTCCCTAATAAAAAAGCTAACAGAACAACAATACCCCGGAGTTTAATAACTTCTTTGAGTAAACAATATAAACGAAAAACATCTCTTTTGCCTAAAAAGTGCTGCTAGAATCCCACTGTCCTGTCAGTAAAATAATCATAACACACATTGGCACGAAACCTTACCTACTTTTTGTATTTTACACATATGAACCGAGAATATTCGTAAAACCATGCTCAACTCGGGATTCTAACAGCACTTTCCAAGCATTTTAGAAGGCGATCTTTTCATCTGTACAAATCTTATGTTTTGAAATGTCCAACTTATTGTTGTTCTTTTGGCATTATTTTAGTCACGAATGACAGAGGAAAGGCCAACTGGGATACGTTTATAGCCGACTGTCTTCAAAATACAATTAATGAAAATAAATTAGCATACCTGTTTATTTAACTGAACTCCATATGAATTTCACATTATATTCCCGATATTTGCTTTTAAACTCCATTTGACGTATCTTTGTACATGCCGTCATAGCTAAATTCTCTTTACACGACATGATCAATTCCCAAGTTACACGTATGACGTCATCGGTAGTAGATTTTAATTAAAATGACAGATAGATCTACAGCATAACAAAATAAAAACATTTTATTTTTGTTAATGTGTACACGTTTCTATTCATTTTCTAGTGTTAAATTAAATTTCTAAATACCAATATTACGAAAACCTGTGTTCTAAAATTGACGTCATCTCGCCTACTATGACGTCATAATGTTTCACTGACTTGATCAAGGTAGAATATTCTGTATGCTTCCTTATCACCCCTGCGTTTTCCGTTATTTCCTTATCATGACAAGAAGCACACGGCGGGTGTAACCGGTCAGCAGAGGACGCTTACTTCTTCATGGCACCTGGTCCCACTTCTGATGTTTCAGAGGTCCGTGTTTGCTCTTCTCTTATTTTGTATTATTTTATGGACTTTGGGATTGAATACTATTCATTATCTCCATATCTTTCACAGTAAGTGCTGTATCGAAAAAGCTCCCTTACTGCTACATAGCCCCTAAAGCAGAATATATATTAAAATTTTTAGCTCTCTGTCATCAAATGATGGCCTGAAATAGCCACGAAGGGGACGTTAAGGTTGAACAACAACAAAAGAAAAAAAAACAAATCAAATCAAATAATATGACAAAGTCATGTTTGATTTGGGATTGGTTCATTTTATGAAGTATTTTTATTTATCATTGTTAAAATAAAAGAAAGACATGAAAGACATGATACATTTAATGTCACTTTCCTATAAGATTTCCAATTAGATCCGGGGTCTCAGTATTAATCCGTGTATAAATGTAAAGTGACGGTTTGTGACCTTCAGGCAGTGTGTAGTAATTCTGACCGTCAGCACTCCAACAAACGGCTTCATTTTTTCCTATCCTATGGTATGGAACTCGAACAGGTGGCTTTGTCAGTGATGTCATGATGTCACCACCGTCAATCTCCCAGAGAAACATTTGGTATCTAGCATTAATGAGGAGTTCGCTTCCATCCACGGATATATCGCCTGAAGCTGGATCGTTGTGGTGGGTGGTATGGATTGGAAGAAACTGAGTAGACTCAATGTTGACCGGAAGAGGGTTTCCCCAGGAGTTATTTGGAAGATGGGAAACCATTCCACTTCCTTTGTATACGGCACTGACAAGGTACACTTCCCCTCGAGGGTCTACCATAATCGTCTCTGATGCTTTTTGGGACCACCTGAAGTAAATAATCAACTGATAATTCATTACTTTGACATTTAATGGTGTTTCAAATATTATGATTTATAATACGATAAAATAAAATACATAGGTGTAACATTCAAAATGATTCTTGTATATTTTTGGATTCAACAAGAAAAATATACTCTCAGACGACGATAGATAAATGTATAATCAATATGATGAATTTGGTTTTTTTTTTTTTTTTTTTTTTTTTTGAAAAAAAAAACAAGATTGAAAATTTTAAATGCTTTGGAATTATACACACAAACACTTAATTTTTTTTCTTTTTTCGCACAGATAAAACCTTTTAATAAGAAATAATCATTAAATAATAAGTCATTCATTGAAAATGAATTTTGAACTAGATTAAGCTCAAATTAAATTAACCCAAGAGGATTATTCTTCAGTTTTACTTTTGATTTTCTCAAAACGGATAAGTATTTTTACAAATTTAAAGTTGTTCATTTTAAATTGCATGAAAAAAATTTCAGAGGAATCCTTTACGTGTATCTGGCGGTTGAATCAAGAGGTAAGACTTGATCTTCGTTAAGTTCGTCTGGCTCCTTCACCCTGTAAATTGTGTTCGATGATTTGTGATGTGTAGCGCCAGAATCAGAAATGTAAATACATCTAGAGTTACCACACGGACCGACAGCAATATCCTCCCAATCACGGTTCCTGGCATTAGCAATTTCTAATGCTGCGATCAGAGCCCCGGATGTTGCGTTTATTGCGTATATATAAGGAGCCCCATTTCCATCGTTGTGGGTGTATAGGACATCTTTGAATATTCGGCTGGCTGCTAGCCCAGATGCATCGGTTAGGTTGTCACAATCAACATGAGCCACACGTTTTCCAGCGGCAAAAGACGGAACTAAAAATAAAATATTTTTGTATTTATCCTATATATTCTTGATAACATTGAAAAATAAATTACATGCTTTTGTTATTTCTTTTAATATTTGATGGTTTGAACTAAATTAATATTGAAACCGAATAAAGGTATGAGTATCAGAACAAATATACATGTACTAGTGAAGTGGGTTGTACGAGGGCTGTTGGAAAAGTTCGCGGTCAAGTTAAATCTTTAATCCAGAAAAAAAATAATTATATACAGTGTAGAGATGTCCGAAAGCAAAATTCCTTCACATGTATCGTCATTCCGCGATTAGTGTTATATACAGAGTTTAGCAAATTGAACACACCCCTGAAACGTACGCAGTTTTAATAAACAGGGCTCGAGCTCTTTTAATGTTAATGTTTACGATTCACTGGGTGTGTTCAATTGTTAAGGTCTGCAAACAACAACTGCACGAACTGACAATATACTGTTTTAATTTTGCTTTCGGACATTTTTACTCTGAATTTTCTGGATTATAGTTTTAATATTTTCCATTAATATACAAAAAGATTACCACTTTTTCTCAGTATTAAGAATGAAATTAAAATTTTCAAAAGTGCAAGGATGTGTCAATCAAACCCATCCAAAAAATTAAAGTTTTAATAACTTTAAGATGAAATAAAATTTTTAATATATTTCCATGTGAAATGCTATTACAATATATAAGTTGTGATATTATACAGACAATATTAACTTCAAATCTGTGTCTATGCACCTTTAAATGATGTGCTTTTTTATATATCTTTAATATATTTCCATGTGAAATGCTATTACAATATATAAGTTGTGATATTATACAGAAAATATTAACTTCAAATCTGTGGCTATGCACCTTAAAATGATGTGCTAAAATTAAGGTGTTATACGTGAAATCTAAATGAGCACAAGCTAATAATTATATTATTATTTAATTTTCTGTCCATGCATGTACATCTTAATGCACGAAGAATATTTTTTCTTCGATATTCTGTTTGTTCGGACTTTGTGAATAAAATATGAATTCCTTAATACTAGTGTATATATGCTGCTTGTTTTTTTTAACTTCGGCAATAATTGAAATGATTAATAAATTTACAGTGTGCAGTTATGCCAAATTTAACAACCTACCTATTACAATATACTAGTAACTGAGTCATTCCAAGCAAAATAAATCCTTACAAAACAATAAATCCAAATTACTTTAAATGAATACTTAGTATTCACAAAAAAAAAATAAGTATTACTACATTAAATAAAACCCACGGTCACATCTAAAATACCAACGCAGAATTTTTTATGTATAAAGTAGAAATGTCGACAGGTCGAGAGGTCGACCTGTCAACTTGAAATGGTAGCATGTTTATGAACAAATATTCTTTTATGCCTTCGAAATACACATTTTACCTGACGCCTATATATAAAAGCACGTTTATAATGATGTCATCTGTCGACTTATCACGCTGTCGACCTTTCAACCAGATATAAAAACCCGTTTATTTGCAAATATACTTTTATGACTTCGAACCTCACGGCAATGTTGGTGTCAACCTGTTGACCTGTCGATCTCTCAACTTGTCGACCTATCAACCAGAAATTGTAGCATGTTTATGAACAAATATTCTTTTATACCTTTGAAATACACATTTATAATAATATCAACCTGTTGACCTGTCAGCTATATATAATAGCACGTTAACAATGATGTCAACCTGTCGACTTGTTACCCTGTCAACCTTTCAACCAGATATAAAAGCGACATTTATTAACAAATGTACTTTTATGTCTTCGAACCTCACAGCAATATTGATGTCAACCGGTCAACCTGTTAATCTCTCAACTTGTCGACAGGTTGACAAGAAATAGTAGCATGTTTATGAACAAATATTCTTTCATGACTTCGAAATATACATTTATAATAATGTCGACCTGTCAGAATTGTAAATACTCAAATACTCTAATACGAAAAATAATGTAGAAAATAACTATAATTCACAAATATTCATTTACATTCAAATTTAATTCATTTGAAAAATAGATATCTCGTTTTGTACATTCATGATGCATTTCATATAATAATTCAATTTGGTCGACAATATAGAATGCAATAATTAGGTGTTAGTATAGCTTTATGCTCATATATTCATTAATATTTAAATTTGAGTCATATGCAAAATTGATATCTAATTATGTAAATTTATGATCCATTTCTCATAAAAATAAAAATGCAAAAATATATGATTGTGTCCATGTGAAAAGGGTCCTTATGGCAATATTTATGCATTTTGAGTTTTTCACGGATTCTGATAGAGTAAGGTTAGAAGTTGTCAAATATAAATTTTTATGGCCCTACGTCTACTCTAAGTAGGTTTTTTCTTCAGTTTTATCAAATATACTTTACAGGTTAATAATGACGTCATGTTTTTCAACAACGTCAAACGTTTTCAGAGTGAACGTTAAATGATTTTCTTTTGTAATTTTACTACGGTGATTAATAGTTGTATAATATTTAATATTTTTCCATGCACATTATTTTTATCTAATTGTCTCTTTTAATTATTAATAATTATTTAATAGTTATATATATTATGGATTCATCAGTGGTGTATAGTATTATGAGTGAGTGTTTGTTTTACATATCACTTTTCTATGACACCAGGGGGAGACCTGAACAGCGGGCAACATCCATTCATTTTTTTTTTTTTTTTTTTGAAAAAATTATTTTCTCAAACAAAATATTTACTGGTAATCCATGCAAGAGTCATTTGCTGAGCCTGTCGAATTCATTTGAAAATTATTTTAATTTAAGCATTGCTCTCGATAGGTCAAGATTTCAGCATAAACGATATATCTTTAGTTATAATTTATATGTGAAAAAAATTAATCTTTTTAAAATTATATCTGGAACAACATTACGCTACCTAAATGCTACTGAGAAGTGAAAAATTATTTGATTGTTCTTTCTTTCTAAATTTTATATAAAGACAGAAAATTGTTAAGTGTGGTATGTAACATGTAATAACGATACATGTACACAATAGACAGAAAATAAAAAGGAAATTCGGTTGATTCACTGCATTTATAAGGTTGTCTGTCTTCATTGGGTCAATAATGACACTGCTTTTTTTGAAAATATAAAGGATACACGAAATATTTTTCAATCTAGCAGTAAAAATATTTGAATATTAACCAATCAAAAGGTGGAAATTTTACAAACAATTTAATGAGTTATAATCCGCAATCATTTACACAATAGATAAACCCAGGATTAACATTTGTAGGATTTTGTGTATGTTGGTGAGGGGGGGGGGGGTTTAAATATAAATTGCAGAAACTTACAATTCTTGTGAACACGAGTTAAAATAAATAATAAAAATATTTTATTTTACTTCAAAAGTTTTAGGTGCACCCAGTACCATTAACCCTACAACTTGCAGATTTACTTTTTTATTTAGGTTTGAAATAATACTGCCTATTATTCTTCATTTTATATTTGTACCTTTAATTCTGAGCATTGCCATTTTCAAAATCGCACAGCGATCATAAACACTATGAGCCTGGAACTGAATTGCTATGAATTCAGTATTGTTAATCATGCATGTATATAATGATACCCTAGAATTAAAAAATCTGGTTTTATTTTATGAAATGGATGGTTTTAAAAGCACAATCACAGAATTAAATTAAAGATGCAATTTACGGTTTACATGTATAGCTTTTGTTGGGGTAGGGGTGGGTTAAAGATTAATAACTTGTAATTGTTTATGCCTAAATATACAGTCAGTTTAATATGACTGTTTTGTAAAATATATATTTTTTGACAATTGCCTGTGAACTGACTGAGCTTTGAAATGTCAGATTTTTGTAGGGATGTAAACATCAGAGAAAATCATCATATTATTTATGACTTAATTAAAAAAAATCCCCTTCATTCTAATGTTGTTTTCTAATTTATTCTATAAAGTGAGTTTTAAAGAGTATGAATTCCATTCTGGTCCCGTACCCAGGGACGTGGCAACAGGGGCTGGGGGGTGAGGGTGGGGGGGTGGGGGTCTAGCTCTTCACTTTTTTCCCAACCTTACTTATACTACATGCATAGGAATTGATAATTGAAAGTCTGGTTGGCCCCCCACTATTAGTGATGTAGGGAAAACGTAGTATAAAAATTGGTACTGAAAGCAGTTGACATAAAAAAAAGTTGGCCTCTACCCCCCCCCCCCCCACCCCCCCTCCCCACGAAATAGGAATTTCGACTTTGTGTAACATTAAACCTTTTTTTTGCTTGTCAACTTTTGCAGGGAAGTGAAAAAAAAATTCTCTGGCTGTCCCCCCCCCCTTTCAAAAACGATGTTACGCGCCTGGTGCCAGAAGCTTGGATATGCTAAGCCTTGTAAAGCCTACATGTTACGGAAATATATAAGGACACCCCCACCCCCATCCCCTGCACTGCGGCCAAAATAAAACAAAATGCAAGCATATTGTTGCGGTTTTATGTCATGTATTTTCAACATTGAATTTTATTTTCTGTTAGCATTTACATGTATAAATAAAACCCGACCCTGAACTTATAAGGAATTTTTTATCAACCAAAACAAATAAAATCATATTTGATCATATTTAATAATATTTATCCATAATTTGATGACAGGTTAAGCAATATGTTATTCCACACTGATAACTGCAATGATATTATAAGCTCAGTGATGATTGAGTTTTTAGCATGATAATTGATCTGTTAATGCTGATCGAGCTTTTATATGAAAGACAAAGTTCGTCGTGGCTTAAGGAATTAATTTGCAGATAATGCTTAAAACATTTGAACTCCGTATGAAAAAAAAAAAAAACAAAACAAAAAAACACGTAAGTACCAAAGAGTTACATGTATATTAAATTTGGAGATCTTGAAAATAAATAGCTATACATGTATATATGTTTAGAGAACAAAAATGATATTTTCTTTCATTTATTATTTCATTTGTTTTGAAAACTCATCTTTTTCAATAGAGTTTCACATTTCTCAATATTAGATAAATAGATTCAATATAAATATTTTTATCTACCCTACATCCTCTCTCTCTCATCAGATTAATTTGACCAGCTCTATTTAAGTTAAAACATTAAGAACATTTTTTTTTTCATTCGGGTGTTTTTGCTTGTTTTAATTTCTCTAAATTGAAGTGTCTTTGTGCAACAAGAATATAAGACAAAACAACATTTTTAAAGTTTAATTTATTTAATCATGATTATAAGGTAGATGTTTTACATGTTTATTATTTTTTAAAAAATGAAATTCGTCATGAAATTATTTCATGCAAAAAAAAAAAGCTATAGATAAGAGATTTGAAAAAAAAAGTCTGTTCAATTTTGCAGTTTTCCTCTTTTTTCTTTGTTTTTCCTTTTTCTACTTTAACCTAGCTTATTCCCAAAGTACAGCAATATTTTTTTATTTAAATATTAATAATTATGCTGACGATTAAAAGTGTTTTAATTTGGTCATAAAATATCTCTTTTATAATCCGGGAGCAAATTTATGCGAACATGCAGTTGAAATGTGAAAAAGTACGCAATTAAAATGAATGTCCCTGTCTGGTACCCCTGTTACATCGATTGTTGACATCAGAGTTATCTCTCCTATTTTTATTTATAGAAAATACAAATCTTGACTATTCTTGCTAGATTTGTAAAAAAAAACTTGCATGGAAGATGTATGTTTAATTTCAACATTTGTACAAACAATTTATCAACAGTTTAAGCAGTATGCACCGATGACTCAATGTTTACAAGTGATCGACGCGATCACGATGTATATTTGAGAGTGGTGGAGCGGATCTCAAAGAAGTAGGAAGACAATTTTCCTTTGCAATATTTTTTTACGATATATTACCCTGTCTAAGATGCATTCTAAAAATGGTATAAATATGTAAATGAAAATTATCTAGAGTATAAAGGTTCAATATGCTATCGGAAAACACCTTGTCTACAGCTTCTATACATTTATTTAATAATATTTGTTAAGGAACCAGTTCTAAATGTTTTTATTTAATATTTATATCTATTAAAATCAGTGGATTAGGGGATTCAGATATTGATTAAATTAATTTATAAATGAAAATAAATTCCACATGTTGCAAACGGCGATAAAAACTCTGGATGCGTCAAACGTCAAAACACGTGGTTATAAAAAAAATCTGCGTCGAAGTTCACCGTCAGTCTGCAACGTCATATCTTTATGACGTTATTTCTTTGTTTTAGAAGAAATGCTATAAGGACCCTTTTGTCATGGGCGCAATCATATATTCTTACGAGAAAAAATGGAACTTTTTCAATCTTATTCTCTATCTGGGCTAGATTTTGCCCGCGACCTTATTTTAAATAGAATAATACTTTCTAAAGTATTCAATATTTTACCTTCTAAATTGTCTATTGCCTGGCGTCTCAGTGCCATTGTTGCTGTAATGCTCAGCAGCAGTACGATGAACATAGTATGATACGGTCGATCTTTTGTCAATAGAAACCCGCACAGATAACAGGAACATTGACCTTTGTTATTATAGATTGGTATGACATACTGGACACGACGGAATATATATTGCACTTATCAAACCACTTACGTTCTGCTATGAAACACTTATTACATTTTCCTGATTTTTTAAAAACTAAATCTACATTGAAATTTGTTTGAACACCATTTTTATCGACAGTAAAACGAATAAAATGTTCAACGAGAAATTCGAGTAAGTGACGCTCGTCAAAATGAGGCTCTGGGGGTGGTTGAAAAATATTCTGTAATATGTCAGTAAAGTGCAATTTTTAAAGTTTTCCCTATATATTTCAATGTAAATCTTGGATTCCTTATGGCCCCGCCCATATCCTAAGGGGTCATGCTTTAAACAATTTAGAACCGTCACTACCCCAGGAAGCTTCCACATACCTTTCAGCTTTTCTGGCCCGGTTGTAGTGAAAAATGTTTCAAAAGATATTTCCTAATATGTATAGTTCGATGTAAATTTTTTATTCTCTATTGTGGCCCAGCCCTTCCCCGCGGGGGTCATGAGTTAAACGATGTACAATCTACACTACCCCAGGCTGCTTCTACATAAGTTTCAGCTTTCCAGGCCCGATGGTTCTCGAGAAGAGATTTTTTTCATTTTCCTTTTTATTATATACCTAATGTATATCACTCAATTTTACTGTTGATTTTACAAAATAACGTGACGTTGTGATCCGACTTTCCGGATCACAACACTGTGCTTTTCTGAATCCAAATCACCACTCTCCACTTATACGACCCTTAGGATCAAAGTTACTGTTATAATAATATCTATATATTTCATCGTTCAACTTTGATATTATGGCCTGTCCTATCTCTGGGGATACGATTTGAACGATGTAGAATCTATACTACCCCAGGAAACTGCCATATAAATTTTTAATTTTCTGGCCCAGTACATGTTCTTGAGAAACCTTAGTTAGGGCCTTAGTTTGAACAATTTAGTATTTCCACTATCCTAGGATGCTTCCACATAAGTTTCAGATTTTCTGGCCAAGTATTGCTTGAGAAAAAAAAAACCTCACACTGTTTTGCTTTTTTTTCTTAATTAATAAACAAAACTTTGGAAGAGAGCGTGGTGCTTCATTTGAAAAAAAAATTGAAAACTTCTCACCTAAAGTTACTCTGTGTCAAGTTTGGTTGAAATTAGCCCAGTGGTCCTTATGAAGGAGATAAAAATGTGAAAAGACAACGGACAAATTTTGATCATGCAGAAAAGCCGCTTGAGCCTCCGGCTCAGATGGGTTAAAAAGAGTGGGTACAATTAATTTGAAATTCATTTTAATCTACCCGACCTATTGCTTCTGTATGAACCCAAAACATATATAATTTACAAATACATGTAGTCTTAAATATTTTTATGATATATTTAATGACTATCGTGATAATATCGTCCCCTTGTGCATTTTTTTCATGAGGCACAGTCGAGTGAATTATTTGTTGTATTGGGACACAATGAAATATGACCTCATTTGTGTTACATCAAAATTCGAATGAAACCAGAAAGCTTCCAGAAAAGATTTTGATGACTTTTTCACCATGGGCATAATGCACAAAAGTATTCCATGTTAGGATTGTTCAGAAAAAAAAATAGACATGCACTTTAAAATTTTACAAAGTTTCAAGAATTCAGAATATTTTATCGAAAACTTGAGAAAAGGTATATATATCTGTCTAACGGATCAATTAGTTTAACTTGCTCTAAAGATTTAGAGAGTAGTTGAAATATTTTCAAATGAACGTCTTTTTTCAATATTTTTTAATCCAACCTTCTCCTAAAGCAGATATATAACCCCATATAAATGTCCATCATAAAATATAATATTTGTTTATAGATTCCATTTTAAACATATATGTAATTCTTTATTTAGAGGAAAAAATTAAAAGAATCTTATATTCTTTATATTCTTAAAAACTTTGAGCGGTAACAGCATACATTATTACCTCACATAAGTTTCAAGAAGGTACCTTTCTTTGTGATGTTGTAATTGTTTTACAACCACCCCCCCCCCTCATGAAATGAGTTTCGAGCTTCTCTATTTAAGTTGAATGCTCTCTCTCTCTTTCTCTCTCTCTCTCTCAAATTCCACATCCATCTTTTAAAGATTGCCAAAGCTCTTAAGAAGATTCTACTAATTTGTTCCATGTGAAAATATTTAACTGCCCATGTGGTAATAATTAAGACAATCTAAGAATATAAAAGATTAAGGTAAAGATTAAGAATGACAAGCATTCTATGTGCAAAATATATGTAAAACTAAATCAAAATCTTTTTCCTTTCATACATAAATAATGTTTTTAATATAAACATTTTCAATTCATTTTTAATTGGGGACTGATTCATTTCAAGGAATAATGACATTTCATAGAAGAAAAACGTTAAAAAAATTGTCACTTTCCTACAAGATTTCCAACTATGTCCGGATTTCCAGTATTAATCCGGGAATATATGTAGAGTGCCGGATTTTGACCTTCAGGTAGTGTGTAGTAATTCTGACCGTCAGCACTCCAACAGACGGCTTCATTACGTCCATCACTATGGTATGGAACTTCAACGGGCGTCTTTGTCAGTGACGTCATAATGTCACCACCGTCAATCTCCCAGAGAAATATATGAGCTTTTGATTTAATTAGGAGTTCGCTACCGTCCACGGATATATCGCCTGAAACCGGATCGTGATGGTGATGGGTATGCATTGGATTGGAAGAAACTGAGTGGATTCAATGTTGACCGGATGAGGGTTTCCCCAGGCGTTTTTCGGGAGATGGGAGACCATTCCACGTCCCTTGTATACAGCACTTATGAGGTATACCTCTCCTCGAGGATCAACCATTAGAGTCTGGGATTCTTCTTCCGACCACCTGAAGCAAGAATTTACTTTTAATAGTGTACTAATAACTTGACATCCTATGAAATTCAAATTGGTCCTCACATTTAAAAAAAAAAGATTCACTGAAGACGAAAAACCCGTTTGTGATTTATAACGGATTTAATTACTTCCATTGATTCCTCTAGACTGGCCAAATCTTTTATATTAAAAAAATCACAAACACATGGTAAAAGAAAGTTATTTTACGTGTATCGAGCCATAGAATCAACCGTTAGAACTTGATTCATGTTAATGTCCTGTGGTTCCAGTACTCTGTAGATGGTGTTGGCGGAGATTGAGTGTTTAAAGCCAGAGTCGGCAATGTAGATACAGCTAGAGTTTCCGCACGGACCCACTGCAATGTCCTCCCAGTCGTTGTTGAAAGCATTAGCAATTTTCAATGTGGAGATGAGCGCACCAGATGTCGCATTTATTGCATATACGTAGGGACCTCCTGTCCCGTCGTTGTGGGTGAAGAGGACTTCTTTGAACTTCTGGCTGGCTGCTAGACCGGAGGCATCTGTCAGACCAGGAGCAATGACATGGGCCACAAGTTTTCCAGGAGCAAATTGTGGGACTGGATATTGATAATATTATTGAATAAATTTCTTCTATTACTTACGTAAATAAAACATATGAATATAACAAACAGTATTCCCAATCAAAATTCCATTTTCAAAAATGCAAAATAGGAACAAAGCAAACATGGACCTCCAAAACATCAGAGGTGGGATCAGATGCCATGGAGGAGTAAGTATCCCCTGCTGATCGGTCACATCCGCCGTGTGCTTCTTGACATGATCGGGAAATAAGGAAAATATCCATCGTCAATTCAGAGTGTAAATAATGGACTGACAATTAAAATGAAAAACGTCAGTCATCATTTAACTCAATGATACAGATGTGTCAGACTCTGTGGTATGTTTTATCTCAAGCTCGACAGGATGTATCGTATCGACATAAGAACAGAAATTATATTGCTATACAACTATAAGATGATACACACAACTAATATATTAACGTTAACAAATATACCGGGAATTCCCCTTAAATAAATTACCAAAATGTTCATTTTTTCAAGAACTATCTTGAATGAGCATGAATATTTAGTAATTGAAGTCAGAAATATTGATGTTCCATTTTCAAAAATTAAAATACATTTTTATTTAATTCCTTAAAACATGTATAGATTAATTATTTTTTTAATGAATTATTTACCTTCTGAATTGTCTGTTACCTGACGTTTCAATGCACATGTTGTCGTAATACTCAATATAAGACAAAGGAACAAACTGGCCATGACGGTATCGATAGAATGTTGGCGTTATCTGTCGCCCATTGAATCCTTGTCAGAGTTTTGATTGATATAACGAAAACAGTCACGACCGAGAAGTGCTTATTGTTCATGAGAAATTACGAAGTTCGTTGTGTCTGTGAATTAACGATGTTTCATGTATTTTTTTTTACTTTTTGCATTGAGCACTAAGTTTATGAACTTTACTCATGCATACAATGTATGAAAGTTGTACAATTTTTCCTTATATGACTTTTTCTGTTTTTTTTTCTATATGTTACCTTGTTCATTTTGTTTGTGTGTGTTTTATCTCTCCTTTTGTTCATCTCTTATTATCATTATTATTTTGTTTAGTACCTTGACCGTAATGTAGGGAGAGGGCTGAAATAGGCTGCGCCTTTTGCCGAATCCTATTCACATTAACATCACTGAATAAAATTATTGTTTAAATTTAATAAACGTATGAAATTTCATTAGTCCTTGACTTTGAATGAACAATTGATTAAGGTAATTGATACTCTGATAAGAGAGATAACTCTTAATGACACAAATGTCTATTATTCCTTTATAAATTTGTCAAGTTTAAGTGCCTTTTTTGGCAAATTTTGCCCCGCAAGCCATGGTATAATTGTTTGTTTTTTATTAAGCATATGCATTTGCTTCGGAAATTCATTAAAGTTAAAGAAAAATTTCATATGAGTGAGCAGAGGGTTTATGACCCTTAATATAATAGGATATCAAATTTTTTTTTATCAGTTATGATCTGTAAGCGCACCAAGATTTTCTGATAGATTGTTTTCCGCATTATTCGATGGGTCTTTCCGTTCACAGGGTTCATTAGACTTTTAACGTTATCAGTTGTTTACTGCTTCGTATGATACGGAAGCGTATTAGGGCCGCAGCAGTATTTTTTTTTAATTTGTTATAACAAATTATTAATTTGTTTAAACAAATTGATAATTTGTTACAACAAATTGATAATTTGTTATAACAAATTGATAATTTGTTATAACAAATTGATAATTTGTTATAACAAATTAATTACTTGTTAAAACAAACTAGTAATTTGTTATAACAAATTAATAATTTGTTTAAACAAATTACTAATTTGATATAACAGATTACTAATTTGTTTAAACAAATTATTAATTTGTTATAACAGATTAATAATTTGATATAACAGATTATTAATTTGTTAAAACAAATTATTAATTTGTTATAACAAAATAATTAGTAATTTGATAAAACAAATTACTATTTTTGACAAAATTTGAAATGTATACAATCTACGAAAGCCAGATCAAATCAAAAATCTTAGTATGTCGGATTTATGAAAACAATTTGCAACTGTCAAAGTTTTTGGCAAATAATAAGGCTTTAGTGGGACTATTGAGAGCTTTTCCAACAGGCTCTTTATTATTATAAAAATTGCATACAAAAGAATTGAATGACACATTAGGAATTTAATATCAAATTTCACCAAGAGATACCCACTCAAGAATATTGTGGGTTTTATTTTTTCGTTCGTTTTCCGGGGAAGGTTGTTACGGGATGTATTTTTTTCTTGATAATTTATCCGCAAATTCATTTTGGTCAATGGTGCCTCTGTTGCTCACAGCTTTATAGGAAACCATGGAGGTTCACCACGGAAGCAGATCCAGGATTTTGCATATATAGAATTGTGTTTGGTTTAAAGATTTTATTCTTTACACATGAATTGGGTTGAACAGTAGACATAAATGCCTGTCGAAAAGCAGTATCCAAAGTAGATCATGTCACATGTAAAGAAAGGAGAGAGAGAGGGGGGGGGGGGGTAAATGAACAAAATCAAAACACAAACTAGAGGTACTGTGAGCAATGAGCTCATTAAATGATACCCCCCCCCCCGCCTCCCATATGCTTATAATGACAAAGTCCATGTTTTGCTGTGGTCGGGAAACCCAAAATATGTGTCGGATCAAAAAGTAAAATAGGAGGTGCACAATGGCAATATGTTATGTAATAAAGATTCTGTGAAAGTTTCATTAAATTTCACTCCGTGGTTTAAGAGGAATTGCGGATAAGAGATGGGTATTCCAAAGCGTAACAGACGGACGGACGGACATACCGAATACAGTATACCCTCCCACTTTTCAAGCGGGGGGATATAATAAAACAATTTATATTGTAACATTCTGTTGCATGGCTCAAATAAGATAATATTTTTCCTAGCATACGAATTGGGTGAGATGACTGTGCAGAGTCGGAAGGGGGAGGGGGTGGAAGGGGGGGGGGGGCACGTATGGACAAGCTTTTATTAAAGCTTCTAAGAACAAGCTATAAGGAATAGAATAAAGGACATTGATGTCTGAAGTGAAAACTCTGAGCTGCTAGAAGAAAAATATAGGTCAAAAGCTTTGCAGACTGTGTGCTTATTGTTTCACAAATTCAATATTTCAATGATTTCTAATCTGATATAGATTCCATAGTTCTGTATACAAGTCAAATATCCAAAATTAGTAATTTGTTATAACAAATTAGTAATTTGTTATAACAAATTAATAATTTGTTTAAACAAATTAATAATTTGTTATAACAAAGAAGAAGGTATGGTTTTAGCTTTATTGCGCCCTAAAAATGTAATGACGTCAAAAAGTTTTGAAACTGGCTTATATATTAGTTTAATAAATGACTTTGATAAATCAGGAAAGAATATGGCATGAAGGTTTATTATTCTGCAAATATGACGTCATTAATGTGAAGCATTTCTCTATTTTCAACAGAAAGAGCCTCAAAATGGCACATTTCAAGGGTGATTTTCCTTTAGAAAACAGTGTCCACAGCCGTCGCCCACGTTAATTTTTTGATATTTTGTGCAAAATTCAATAACAAATCACATATCTCAAGATCTTTGTTGGCGATGCCTGTGGACAATGTTATCTGAAAGAAAATTCCATTGGAAACTGGTGTCTTCTGCTACTTTTTAAGAAAATACGGGAAAATGCACATGTCTATGACGTCATAATTAGCATTTAAAAACACATGTGAGAAAAATGACTTGTATGATTTTTCTGCATTGAATTTCTATTATTTAAAAAGCTTGAGTTTGCAACATTTACACCAGTTTCATTTTTTAGAAAATCACAGGGCAAAATTTGTATAGAAACCATACCTTCTTCTTATCAATTTGTTATAACAAATTATCAATTTGTTATAACAAATTATTAATTTGTTATAACAGATTATTAATTTGTTATAACAAATTAGTAATTTGTTATAACAAATAAATAATTTGTTTAAACAAATTAATTATTTGTTATAACAAATTATCAATTTGTTATAACAAATTGATAATTTGTTATAACAAATTAATAATTTGTTATAACAAATTAAAAAAAGATACTGCTGCCGCCCTAATACGCTTCCGTAGTATGAACTACTGGGACAATGTTATCCACAGTTATTCGAAAGTATAACTCTTTTATGAGAAATTCAATGAAAAGTTGTCGGAATTTAGAATTATGCCTCCTTCGAAGAAGGTATCATTAAAAAAAATGGGGGAAAAGTTGTAAAACAATATCTTGTCTAACATCGGCCCAGATAAGATATGACACTTATTCAAAACCCTTAATTCCTTACAAGTGTATATTCTTAATTCCTATGATCACACCAACAAGGACAAGGCGTACTAAGGGTTATTTAAGGAATCACCTGGACAATAACGACATTTGGAAACGTGGGATAATTTGCATAACGGACATACTCTACTAATAACTATGGACAGTGATTCCTTTTATTTCCTTTTCATTTGAAATAAAATTGTGAATTTAGATTTTAAGAATGTTGTCTAATAGATTTATATTACATGAGAAGTCACGTGTAAATTTCAATAGTGACAGCCCACTGACGTCAAACACAAAGACAGTCACACGAGATTTACTTGCAGGTATGTATTATATAGTCCTCCTCAGCCTCTGACAGTGTCCTAGTGTTTATTACATTGTGCAGCGAGTAATTGTTATGGTTAAAATTGAAACTTTGTATTTTTTTTCACTGATTGAAGTACTTAATTCAACATTGTGTTTCGTCACATTTTTTCTAATTTATCACAGTTCTTTGTTTTGTCCTTTTATATTTCATCATTTAATTAATTACATGTAGAATTTTTCCGGCAGTTCATCCAAATATATTCTGAGGGGAAGTGTCTTCACGTTGATACAAATAAAGGGGAACACTTTCGCCCCTTTCAACAGTATAATAATTTCGACCAGATGAATCCCAAGCGATTGCCTCAGAGTTTCTTCTCTTTAGTGGCAAGGTTTCTCTTCCATGGGAACTACCTAGAGTCTGTAGTATATCTCCATTTATAACGTTCCAATAATACACATGATCTTTCATCAGGATTAAAATTTGACGTCCATCTTTTGAGATGTCCCCCGATACAGGGTCTGCGTTATGGTGATGAACATTGTGGGTGGGAACATGCAGCTTAATGTCGGTGTCAATGTTTACATTCGTACGACCCCAGTCACCCGGATTAATCCGCCCGATTTTTCCTGTCCCTCCATGATGTGCCGCCACGACATAAACTAGTCCAGAAGGGTCCACCATTAACGTATTTGAATGATCATGTTGCCAACTGCAAAACAAAGTACCATGTACATTTCCTATTAATTTTAAACTTAACTTACTAATGATCTTGGCGTTCAGAACAAAATAAATGAAAAAAAAGCATAAAAAAATAACAAGTTGCTCAGAAGTTATGCACATAAAAATTACTACATGTATATATAATATTATTTCATCAAGTTTTCCACAAAATATTTTTTTTCAAAAATCTTAAAGTGAAGTTGAATTAAACAAACATGGTATTTTTTCAATTTGGAAACAATATGTTACGTCATTAAAATCAGGAATCTAAAAATCGTTTGAATATTGATTCATATTAATTTCGATTTAATACTAAGCAAAATGAATGCAAACACCATGTTTTCTATTTTAAATCCTATCTTCTATCTTCTTGACCGGTCGCGGTAGCCTAGAGAGTTCGCTCAGTGATCAGAAGGTCCGGGCTCGATTCTCGTTCGCGGAGCCACGTCAAACCTAAGACGTAAACAAAGGTAATGACTGCTCCTTCGCCAAGCGCGTGGCTCTAGAAGTGAAAGTCGCGTGTCTTTCGGATATGACCTTAAAAACGTAGGTCTCGTGTCACGGTAGGCGTTGGCACGATAAAAATTCTCACTGCTCAATGGCCCTGAATGTCGAGTTTAGGTCTAAATTTGAAGCCCTTAAACCGGCAAAACGGTGACGTCTCCATATGAGTGAAAAATTCTCGAACGGGACGTAAAACAAATACAATTAATCAATCTATCTATCTATCTTCTTTAATAAATGTTCCTTGGTGTACAATGATAAAATTTACGGAAAAAATTATTGTATTGTATGATTGTAATGTATAATTCAAATGTAAACTTACTTAGTCTGCACTTTATCTTTCAGCGGAAGTATCTGATCCGAGTAGATGAAATCCGGTTCCTCCACTCTATACACCACGTTTGGATTTTCTTCAATGTAGATACAACTGGCTTTCCCGCATGGCCCTACTGCAATATCTTCCCAGTCGTGATTGTTTGCCGGATAAACCCGCAGTCTCGCGATAAGGCTGGCGGTAGAGGCGTTGATGGCGTAGATGAATGGGCGGTGATCAACTCCATTGTTATGAGTGTACAGGACACCATGATGTTTACGACTTGCAGCCAAACCCGAAGCATGGGAAATTTCTCGTGAAACTGTCCCTAGGGATTCACCATTCCTAAATGTCGTTGCTGAAACTAAATATGCACATTTCGTTTAATTACAAGAAAACTTTACAGAGCTTGGATATTGAGTACCTGAAACATAATTCTCTTTCGTGTTGTTGTTCTTCTACAACCTATAATAGTCCTGCTGGACATGTTTTAACGTTTGATGCATATAAATGATAATGATAACTTTAATGATCAGTTGTTTCAATTTACAAGTTCCTTAATTTAGGGGACCGCGAACCTTTAATTGGCGTGACGGTCGTAAATTCTATAAAAGTATAATGTATAATGTATATATAATGTATATAAAAGTATAATGGATTCTGTAGAAGATGGGCAAACTGTTTCTGGCATGGAAAATGTATATCTTGACACTTTGTCAGAATGGATTAAATGTATCAGATGTATATTAAGCAAGTAGGTGACATAATGAAAACTATCTATCCGAGCTTTTATATTCATTGATTGAGAAGGTAAAAAGACTTAAATAGATTGCACGATCGGTACGTGCTTGTCCTTGCTGACAAAGTTCAGGTAACATTGTTGTCTTTGATTGTAATGATCAACAATTGGTTATCCAACTTATTCCAATACAAATAATCTGTCTTTCTAAAGAGGAAAAACGTTCAAATCTTATGTCTTTTTTGAAATATTTTTGATATTCCCAACTACCAAAATTAATTCAAATTACGAGTTCTACCGGTATATTGAATTCTGAAAATTCATAAAAATCTTTCCAAACACAGAAACATAGCAAGTTTCAATAAATGTTCTACCAAGCTTCTTTCTTTACTTCTCACTGAATATTTTACAGTAGCAAAGGAGAACCTTCTGTGCAACAATATTTATAAGACTTGGTATAATTCAGATGTGGGTACTAAAAAATTCCTAGAAACTTTTGGAACATTTGAAAGCTCAAAATTTTTTACAAAACACAAAAGCATAGTACGTTTCAATTGAAATACAACTTTCCCCCAGGATATATCAAACTTCATGCATTTTTTAAATCATTGATAGTTGCTTTTTCAACAAAAATGGAATTTGTATAATTACAAATACTCTGGCATTGGTTATTTGCAATATTACTTTGTGAGAAAAAACAACTATCCAACCAAACTGATGGTATACACAAGTGCTCTGATGTTGATATTAAAAGATGCTCAGTTTTTGATTAACAATATCTACAGGTATCTGGGGTTTTTGAGACCACGCCTTCTAACAATCTATTAGAAATCCAATATTTAACAACATTTTCCAGCTGCGCAACCTTTTTTGTATTCATATGAAGCAATGAAGCAGCATTTGTTCAAAATCTTTTACGTGAACGTGAAAAAAGAAATCACTTGCTGTGGCCATCAACTCGAAATTTAGATGTATCGACGACCTATCGTTAATTAACAATTATAGTTATTTCCATTCTTATGTCGACAAGATATATTCCGGTGAACTTAGTATAAAAGATACCAACACAGAAGTTGACACCGTCATCTTTTTCATAATTAGATACTTTATTTGAAAAAGACTTTAATGGTAATATAAGTAACAACCAAGCTCTCTGATAAAAGTATTGACTTTAAATCTTCAATCGTCAACTTCCCTCACTAATGCAGCAATATAGTTACTCTTATCATCTAAATACAGGGTTTATACATGTATCTCTCGGTTGATTCGATTCTAAAGAGCATGCTCTACGTACGTATGAACAATTTCTAAAACGAAGTTTGTTACTGAAAAAGAAGTTGATGAAACAAGAATACGAGCAGTCTCGTTTTAAATCATCTTTTCGTTAGTTCTTTGGCATTGACAATGTCATTGTCAGCAAGTACAGTTTATAATAATGTTAAATGCTGACTTACTCTTCTCAAAGACATACTAATTGTGAGGCCATTATTTACACCTGGGATTGTCGAATGATTTTTAGCTGTTTCCGTTAATCTTCAAGAAATACATACCTGCTCCAGAAGAAATCCAAAAGAAGAAAAATAGTAGTCTAAGACTTCTTATCTGTAAGATCGTCAAGTTGAGTGCCATAGCTGTAAAGTTTTATATGAGTGAAAACCTCGGTCTATATGATAAGAAATGTAAATGTATATACATGTACATATGATGTATGTGCATATAACTTAATATGACCTTGAGGTACGTGCTGTGTTCCAACAGAATTTAACATTCAAACATCAAGACTATATTTCTAATTTATTCTTCTTAAAATATTTGATAATGAAATCGCCGAGCACACATGATTATGTGTAGTTCCCAACCAGCTCTTCTGGTCTGACTAATCTTGGACTTTTACGAGTTGACCGTTTACTTTAATTAAACCTGTATCGTCTACGAAGGTACATTGTACAGAATTGACAATAGATTAAAAAAAACCTCTCTAGTGGTCATAGTAATAGTAATGGTGTTAGGGGCACTACAATGTGTAATTCGTGGTTGGTGGTGGGGGAGAGGGGGGGGCTTGAATTCTAATAATACCTGAGAATGCCTCCATATCAATATTGCATACAACTTCTTGAGAAAGTTCTTGCGAAAAAGATTTATTTTAAACATTTTGTTTGTATATATTACTTTGTTACAATTTGAATTTGACTCCCAATATATTGTTTCCCGCCATACCCCAATGGGTACTCATGATACACAATACTTACATGTCAATATGACTAATCATTTCTTTTTTTGTTATTGGGATTTTTCCTTTTATTTTCCTTTGTAAAACTTTGATCCACCATTGAGACCCTTACTTACCATGATTGGGGGTTATGATTTGTACAAATTTAATTCTACACTACCTGCGGATCCGATGCTTTCATATAAATATAACTAATCATGGCTTTTCTATTCTTCAGAAAATGATTTTTTAAAAGATATTTTAATGTAAAACATGGATCCCCCATTGTGGCCCTATCCTATCCCTGTGGGTTATGATTTGAACGGACAAGAATCTACACTACCTGAGGATGCTTCCATATAATATAACTAATCATGGTTTTGCATTTTCCCCTATTTATTTCTATTTAAAATTTTGATCGGCCATTGTGGCCCCACCCTACCCCCGGGGGTCATGATTTGTACAAATTTGAATGTACACTACGTGAGAATGATTCAACACGAGTTTCATCTTTCCTGGCCCAGTTGTCTGTGGTTCGTGAGAAGAAGAATTTTTAAGAATGCCATTAATTTTTCAACAATTCATAATTATCTCCCCTTGGAGGGCGTGACCCTTTATTTGAACAGACTTGTATCCCCTTTATCCACGGATACTTTGGAGCAAGTTTGGTTGAAATTAGTCCAGTGGTTCTAACAACAAAGACAACGACGACAACAACGACGACGACAGACAGGGGAATGATAAGAAGAGCTCACTTAAGGACAGATGATATAAACAATTTTTTTTCTTTGAAAAAGATTTGATATCATGTCACAAGTTAAGAAAAGTGGATGGTTACTACATCTTGTTCTCCTAAGAACTGGAATATGAAATACACTTGGAAAATATTAGTAATGTTTCTCTGAAAAAACAAATATACTAGTAGCCAATCACATTCGGTAAAGGTTTACAGGTGTAAAGAAATTTCAGAATATGTTATCTTGGTGCTAAAAGTGTAATATAAACTTAAGAAAAATATACCAAGCCAGGTGAATTTAATTAGGAAAAGCTAATTTGTAAAAAATCTGCCTATGTGATATTGCTAATTTTTTGTCATTTTGTTACCCCTCTTAAAATTCATCTGGCTTGGTATATTTTTCTTAAGTTTATATTACACTTTAAGCACCAAGGTAACATATTTTGAATTTGTTTTCACCTGCAAACTTTTACTAAATGTGATTTGTCTATATTTGTTTTTTCATTGAAATATTACTAATATTTTCCTAGTCTATTTCATTTTCCAGTTCTTGGGAGAAAATATTCCAAGAATTATCCACTTTTCTAAACTTGTGACATGATATTAAATCCTTATCAAAGAAAAAAATTGTTTGTATCATCACAGGCACCTGAAGCATGTGAAGTATGGACCGATAATACCCCCCCCCCCCTTTTTTTTAAAGCCATATATGGCGTATGTACGATGAAAATTATTAGTCTAAAATTATAAGAACTTATTATTTGTTTCATTACTTTATATAAAGATAGAACTTTTCCATAAATTACAAAATCTAAGTCAATTGCGTTTTAAAGATATCACAATTTAATTTGAATTTTTGGAATTTTCTCCGACTCGGAAGAAAATACAAAAGATTTAAATAACACATTACAGAGAAGATAAAATCGTATTATTGGTTGAAACGAGGTGTTCTCCGTGTTCAAAATTATATGAAAAGTTTTAATTTAAATGTATTAACTGTATTGCTTTACTTAATTTTGTATTTTTTAAAAATATTATTTTTGATCAGTTACGCCATATATGGCTTTAATGAAAAAAATGGAAGAGTGTATAATACCTCGAAAATATAAAATTTCCCCGTCAAACACATCTAAATGTCGTTATATGCAAGCAGATTGTACTTTTTCTCAGGTTTAAAGAATGGCCCTAGCTATTCGGTATAATAAAAATACACGTGTATTTTTATTATACCGAATAGCTAGGGCCATTCAGCGAAACCTGAGAAAAAGTACAATCTGCTTGCATATAACGACATTTTATGTGTTTGACGGGGAAATTTTATATTTTAGGTATTATACACTCATTAAAAAGGGGGGGGGGGGTATTTTCGATCCATACTTCAAGTGCCTGTGGTATCATCTGTCCTTAAGCCTTCGGCTCCATAGGGGCTAAACGTGGTTTTTTCTTGACTGAAAGTGTCAGGATCTTTATTTTAACAACTTTTAAGTGTATTTGAAGAAGATTCAAAATTTTAAAAATTTATTTGACATTTAACAATCCGGAACAAGCCCCTATGTCGGCTCAGGTGAGCTAATAAAATCGAAGTAAATGTTGTTATCTCTCTGTTGAAAATTCATATTTTTAAATATAAAATATCAATATTGGAAAAAATGATTTATCGATGCGTACTGCAGGATGTGATGACGAAAAAGAAAATTTGGGAGTGTCTTTTTTGCATTGAAAACTTATCTTTAGCGAAGGGGAACTCCATTGTTTATTTATAAATAATGCATGTATGTGAATATTCATGGTTTCATAATCTGTCAACTATATCAAAATAACTGAAACAAATTTCAAGTAAGTAGTTCTATCTGTCATTTAAATATATGTTATTTGAATATAGTTTCCTGTTTGTATAAGAACTATATATATTAATAGATGTAACCAGAGAGATAACTTTCGTTTTCATGTCGGACTCGGGATCCTTTGAAATGTGAACCCAAATATTCCCTTTCTTTTCCGTGTAAACTTACAGATACTGAAATAGTTTAAGTTGTTTGGTTGCATAATCCTATACTAGGTTGATATTTATAGGATCTTACATGATTTGGTAAGTACTTTTCTTACATATGATAGACTTTCTGATCCGTTGTTTTGTTCTAGGTTAGAACTTAGACAGTTAACGTTAGGACCTTGGTACTCAGAACTGAACGAATCGAAAGTAGTTTTACCTCCATTGGCCAAACTTTGATTACATTCAAAATATATGGCCTATGGGATCTCAGATTTTCTTGTGGAAGGACGAGAATATGATTTTTTATCTAACGAGATGGGATTTTCTTATCTTCGAATTCGATCTTTGGCGAATGGATAGGCTAGAAAACAAACGAGAATAGAAATCATCAAAACCCAGATTTTCCCATAAACTTATGATAATCATGCTAATGGAGATGCTTTTGATCATAATCACTAGGTTTATACACAGGTATCACATTTTACAGGTTTGGACCAATCACCCAAATGGAATATAATAGTCCGTTTGGCGTATAATATCCCAAATAAGCTATAAATTTACAGTGCAAAAATTGAAAATAAATTGATATTTATAGGCTTGCCAAGCAGATTTTAAAATGAAATTCTGGGATCAAAATCATTACATATTTCTGTTCAGTTACCTTTTAATAAAGCAAAAATGCATTGTATTTGAAAATTTCCAACATCCATGATTTTTTAAAAATAATTGAAGTTTGCCATTTTTATGCCTACAATTCTATTTTTAGAGGCAAAATGTCACCTTCATTTTCACACCTTTCCATAACTGAGAAAAAATTTTTTTTGGTACAAAACTCAAGTCAAATGATAAAATAACAAGATGCAATGTGAATTTCTCAACAAAAAACTTTTATTTCTTTATTAACAAATTAATTATTATGATCGGCTGGTCTGGTCGACAGGCTTTTCTTCCATTTACTTGGTTGTTTTGCTCAGTGTCTGAAAATAAAAATATTTTTTGTATTTAGATGCTATTATAAGTTAATTAATACACAGGAAAAACTCAGCAAGACTTAAAAAAATTGTTACCTTCCAAAATTAACAGGGAACAGTATTAATGTTGTCTGTAGTACCATTCGGGTTCCATGAAAAATCTTTTCCAAGTACCTACTAGCATGTCTGAAATAAAGCACAGGACATCATAAGCTATATAAACCTTTAAAATAACTTAAATGATTTAATGACCTTAATGAGTTTAAAAATTTAATCATTATAATTATATATACATACATACATACATTATAAATATATTATATGAATTATACATGTATATGAGTTCTGCTTTAGTGAAATTAAAATGGTTAATTGCTCCTTGTTTAAGTGATGAAGTGTAAATGCAGTTATTATTTAACAACTTAAAACACCTACCATTAATCACGCATCATTTAATTTACTCATCGTCTGACGGTCTCATGAATTTAACATATGACTATAATGCAGTATAACATGATTTCGAATTTTCTCTGTTGTCATTTTTGTAAAACCATGTAATATTCATTAAAGCCACTCTATACTATAACAGTTTTAATAGCATGAAAAACAAGTTCAGACACTTCGATTTAAACAGATAAGAAATATTTTGGAAGTTAATAAAGGCTGAAATGATTTCGAAAATGATGCTTGCAATGGGAGCCGCCATTGCTGAACGAAAACGAGGCCATGAACAGTCCACTTAATTTTTCGTTAAAATACAGATATTGTCTTGCGTTTACTATCTGTTTTTTATTATAAACAGCAACAAGAAGCATTAAATGTTTAAAATATTATAGTTAGATGGGTGCCTTCACATTATGAGAGTTAAAACACACTTACCGTTCACTTTCTCCCTCTGTTTTTTTCGTTGTAACATGTGCTTTATGGTCTTTCTAGCTAAAGGCATGTGGCGGGAACATTTCTTAAAATAGTTCCGTAGTTATTCGGAACACATCGTTCGTATTCATTTAGAAATAAGTCGTAAAAGACAACCACCCTCGATGTCAAAAATGTGCATGACGTCAGAGACACATAAAAATAGAGAAACTCGAGTTACGTCCCTTTGCGTTAGCAAGCCTAATATTTATAGCCAAAATAAAAATCTTCAATTTTTGCACTGTAAATATATAGCCCATTTGGGATATTATACCCCAAATGGACTATTATATCCCATTTGGGCGATTGGTTGGTAGCTGTTTTATGCACTGTTTTGGCATGTGAATCCTCTTTAACTCATTTTTAGCTCACCTGAGCTGAAAGCTCAAGTGAGCTTTTCTGATCACCCGGTGTCCGTCGTCCGTCCGTCCGTCTGTCTGTCCGTCCGTCCGTCCGTCTGTAAACTTTTCACATTTTCAACTTCTTCTCAAGAACCACTGGGCCAATTTTAACCAAACTTGGTACAAAGCATCCTTGGGTGAAGGGGAATTTAAATTGTTAAAATCAAGGGCCAAGACCCCTTCCAAGGGGAGATAATCAAGAAAATACGAAAATAGGGTGGGGTCATTAAAAAATCTTCTTCTCAAGAACCACTGGGCCAGAAAAGCTGAAATTTATGTGGAAGCATCCTGGGGTAGTGTAGATATTAAATTGTTAAAATCATGACCCCCGGGGGTAGGGCTGGGCCACAATAGGGAATCCAAGTTTTACATAGAAATATATAGAACAAATCTTTAAAAATCTTCTTCTCAAGAACCACTGGACGGAAAGCTGAAACTTATGTGGAAGCATCCTTGGGTAGTGTAGATATTAAATTGTAAAAATCATGACCCCCGGGGGTAGGGCGGGGCCACAATAGGGAATCCAAGTTTTACATAGAAATATATAGAACAAAACTTTAAAAATCTTCTTCTCAAGAACCACTGGGCCAGGAAAGCTGAAACTTGTGTGGAAGCATCCTTGGGTAGTGTAGATATTAAATTGTTAAAATCATGACCCCCGAGGTTAGGGCGGGGCCACAATAGGAAATCCAAGTTTTACATAGAAATAAATAGAACAAATCTTTAAAAATCTTCTTCTCAAGAACCGCTGGTCCAGGAAAGCTGAAACTTATGTGGGAGCATCCTTTGGTAGTGTGGATATTAAATTCTTAAAATCATGACCCCCGGGGGTAGGGCGGGGCCACAATAGAGAATCCAAGTTTTACATAGAGATTTATTGAACAAATCTTTTAAAATCTTCTTTTCAAGAACCACTAGGCCAGGAAAGCTGAAACTTATGTGGAAGCATCCTTGAGTAGTGTAGATATTAAATTGTTAAAATCATGACCCTCGGGCATAGGGCGGGGCCACAATGGGGAATCCAAGTTTTACATAGAAATATATATAGAACAAATCTTTTTAAAAGATCTGCATCACCCAAGTTACTCAGGTGAGCGATGTGGCCCATGGGCCTCTTGTACTTCATCACTTTTAATCAATGAACATTGTTGGTTTGAAAAAATTAATGTATCAAATATAACCGTGTAAAGGCTGCAGATACTCATGCAATAGGTACAGTAAAACTCGTTTAGTACGAACACGGATATTGCGAATTCACGGATAAAGCGAAGTCTTCTTGGATCCCCAGCAATTCAAATTTATTGAATTTCTTATACGGTTATAACGAATTACGGATATAGCGAAGTAATTTCAGAGGTCCCAGTGACTTCGTTATAACCGAGTTTTGCTGTACATGTATGTTATTGTATGTTGTGAGTTAAGGCTAAGTATATTTTTATGAAAATTCTGTTTGTTCTGGATAATTGAGTTATTTTGGTGTTTACAGACTTTCTGGATTTGAAGATTTGAGCAATGGACCCCACCAACAAAGACATCATTCCTACGTCGCCTCTAGAAAGATTTAAACCCCTTCAGGAAAGTTATCAGAAAAGACTGAAAACTTTCAGTAAATATCCAAAGAATGCAGTGAAGAGGAAGGAAGAGCTTGCTGATAACGGCTTTTATTACCTTGGCGAAGGAAAAGACGACAAGGTCCAGTGTACGTTTTGCGGAATCATAATAAATAACTGGGAGGAAAAGGATGATATTCAATCAGAGCATCGGAAATATTCCCCTTCATGTTCTCGAGTTCTTGACAATGACCGCAAAAACTTTGGTGCCAATTTACATGGAGGACTTTCTCGCGTTGACTTAATAAGGAATATAATGGATAACACGAAACAGGCTGTTATTCCTCAGATGAAGGACTATAATTTAAGATTAAAGTCTTTCAATGATTGGTCGTTCAGTGAGACAGAAAAACCCTCAATAGAAGCTATGGCAAAAGCTGGTTTATTTTACACAGGTAAAAAATTAATGATGAGAATGACTTTCTACTGAAATTGAATGTAAACTTTAATTATTTAGTAATTGTATAATTATCAATAGATTGGTTTTTTTTTTGGGGGGGGGGGGGCTAACATTTTTGACATAACTACACTAAGACTACATAGAATATAAATATGATCAGAGTAGACTATTGATGCTTAATTATTTGTACAAAATGTGTTTGCTATAGGTAAAAATGACACTTCACAATGTTGGTTTGTTTTAGGTAAGAATGACACTACACAATGTTGGTTTTGTGGGAATCTGCTGGAAGAATGGGAACCAGAAGACAAACCTAAAGAGGAACACGACGCTAACTTTCCAGAGTGTATGCTGGCTCCTCAATAAAGTAAAAAAAGAAAAGGGGGGGGGGGGCTTTTATTTGGTTTGATCCATTTAATGAAGGATCTTGTAAACGTTATATAGTCATTGTATTTATAAATAATTGTTCAATTGTGGAAAAAAGATGTGATGAACAATGATTAATCACAGGCATTCATCATGTTTACAGCCATAACAAAATATATATGTAATATACTTTGAAACATCAAGTTGTACTCTTTATTTAAAGTACACACGCTAAAAACACAATGAAAGTGAAGTGCCTGTGATGAAAATGTATATGAATTTCTTTATATCTGACAAAGTCCTATAAATAGAGTTTGAATAGCAAGAAATGAAAACCACTTGACTCTAGTATGAATACAGTACATATGTGTTCACTTTAGATGTGTTTTACTGACGGAAATTTGTTTACCAGGAAATATTTACCGGGTAGTACTTGTAGAAAATCCACACTGAATTTCCTCTCAACTCCATATCTTGATATGATTTTGTAAATCGCATACATTTTATTTAGAGGCAAAAATATAAATATATAATATTATCATGATTATAAAATACATGAAGGATAGTGCATTATTTCAAGGGAAATATGTATTTATAATCAATATAATGTCATTTGCACAAACTCATTCCTACATTAATTTTTTTCATAGAGATTACAGTGTATCAAATATTTTCAATAATTTTGCAGATATTCTTATTTAAGTGCCTAACAGTACTTTATGTTTTTTTTCTTTTATAGCTGCTGTTGATGTTGTTTTGTTGTCATTTTTTTTAATGCTGCAGAGTAGCATCTTTTTGTTAAAATATTTTGAAAATTAGTGAAATAAGACTCAGAGAAGAAAAAAAAAATAAATAGAGAAATAATTTCTGTATTGTCAACTCATGAAACTTAATAGTTGGATTTCAATTACTGTTTATTTCTTTTTTAACCTAGTAAGTTCTAAGTAATGCATGAGTAAGCCTTTTTCAGAGAAAACATCTGTTCTAAATAACATATAAATCAAGCTAAGAGAGATAACTTCGCATATCTTGCCCTTGGCTGACACAAGATGAAAGAAGGATGTAATGTATTTTTGTAACGTATAGAAGCTAAGGAAAATTGAACATTACTAAATGAAGAATTAAACTGTATCACATATGTCGGACTCAAGACTTTTCAGAAACCATGATGATGAGTAATATTAAATCCCCCCTTCTCCCCTCTCCCGAAAAAAAAAAAAATTAATAATAATTTATATTTGAGTAGATTTTATTTCGTTAAAATTCTGATAATTCTGAAGATTTTATGAGAACTATAAGTCACAAAAGTCAGAATTACATATGACTTGCAATTGTTGACATCATTTTTACTGAAATTTAATATCATTAAAATGCGCTTTCACAAAGGATTTTTTAAACTCGTTTTTAAATACACATGTACATGTATTGTTTTTTTTTTTTTGTTAATATTAAAATAAAGATTTATTATACACATGTATAAATAGACCTTGTTTATTTATGCAGAAACCATTTTACAATCCCGATGAAAAAACCCTGCTTGTTTTTGTGAAGGTCTGCATCTAGCTGCAATAACTTTTTATCAGACCATTGTAGGGAGGGGCTCACATGCCTTTAATTATTTACATGGTGCAACTAAAATCCTTTGATGCTCTGTTTTAAGGAAAACTCTGTAGCTGTATTTGTTTTAGTTGCATGTTTTAATTTTTGTTATTACCATGGAAAGTCTTTCAATTGCTGTATCTCCTACATGTATAAATAGTATTTGTAATATGTCTTGTGGGCACGTTCCTTTATGGGTGTGTATACATTGTAAGATAATTTTTTCCCCCAAGTTATTGTCCTTTTGAGTGAAATAATTTTTATCTTATGACTCTTGATTCTTGGTCAAGTTCAACAGTGGTCATGTTTTTGTATAAAATGTTACAAACTAGGAATATTCATTATCATAGGCTTTACTCCTCCCACTTCAAACATAGCATCCTTTGTACATGTTCATATTTTTCTCCAAATCAAGTTGAGGGAATAGGGGGTATATACAGTAAATATGAAAATTTTTGCTGTATACACACTGTATAAATTTTTAGAAAATTTGCGAGTTCATTGCATTCGCAAAAATATTTTTCTTAAAAGTAAATCACAATAAGAAAATGTAAAAATGTAAACAAAGCAGTTGTCATTCGCAAAACTTTGAAATGTAAAAATTAATCAACAGCATTTTGACCTGAATTTGCAAAATAAAATTGACTTAAAAATTTCCAGATTTATGGTAGTTTCAGATAATATACATATACATTTACTATTTTTAAAACAACTTTTATAATTGAAGCCTATGTATGAAATCTTAGTTTAGTAAACATGATAAAACACATTAGATACATGAGCAAGATATGAGCAGAATTGCAGAATTTATTTAAAGTGTATTGTGGGGGGGGGGGGGGTATGGAAGGGTATGACATAGTGGAATATAAAGCAACTGATTGTTGTGATCTGACCTTATTTATAACATATGAAAAACCTTAATTTGTTCACTGTGTTTTCTTTTATATGAAATTTTTTTTCTTCTATTGATCCTTAAAAAAATGTTTTTTTGTATTTGTATATTTAGATGTTCATGGAAATCCATACTGGATTTTTTATACATTGTACAAAAAAAAAAATTTTTTTTTTTTTTACATAACCATTTTCTAATTTTATCCTATTGACATTTTTTTACATCCCCATTGCACCTGTAGACGCCGTTTTTAAAAAAAACTAACCATGTGTTCTGATATTTGAACAATAAAAGATTGGATTCAATAAGAATGCCTTAATTTTCTTGTTTGATTAGTAACTTAAAGTAAAATCTAAGACATAAAAAGATTAATACCTGTATTAATCGAAATTTAATTCTTTATACGTTTTTGTCTCCAAAAAGAAAAATAATCCTACCTACCTACCCACACCTAAAATGTGAGGCACGTTACCGCAAAAAAAATTTTTTTTAAGGATGGCCTTGATTGTTAAGGAAGAATAGTATTGTACATGTATTTGTATATTTAGATGTTCATTGAATTGTTATCTCTTGTTTATACAACGTTCACTTTGCCGGGAAAACTTATTTTGTTATTTATTGTTTCTTATTTAGCATTGTACCATACATTAGAAGCTCAAATTAACTGGAAAAATTTTTGTCACATGTCATACATTAAGTTTTTATTTGTTAAATCATATACATGCTATTCACATACATGCATATTTATGCCCCTGTAATTAAAGATTTTGGGGTTTATAGTTTTTGCCCTGTCCATTTGTCTGTCTGTTTGTTTGCCTAGCTGTTTGTTTGTCTGTTTGTACACAAAAAACTTTAATCCCCATATTTTTTGAGTTGCTGTATTCCTTGTGATTCTTTGGGTATTACCAAATTTAATTTGACTTTGTCACCTTGAAGTTTGACCCACTTTTATAAAAAAAAACTATAAACGTGTCCATAACTTTTGAACAGTTGATGCTAGGGCTTTCATACTTCATATGATTACTTTTTATGACAATACCCTTCAAATCATATGAATATTTTTGACCTTGACCTAAGAGTTTGACCCTATTTAATTCGTAAGATTAACCTTGTCCATAATTTTTAAACAGTTTGTACTTTGACTTTCATATGTCACAGGTCTATTTCTTGTGAAAAGACCCTCCTCTTGATACCAACAATTTTGACCTTGACTGTGGAGTTTTACTTTCATTTTAGAAATTTCAACTCTCAGAATAAGCCTTACACAAGCATCAGTGTTTCAAAATCCAGTAATCATTTTTTTTATTTTGTCAATTTTGTCTACTTTTCATCTTTAATCAGAAGTTGATTTGAACATATTTTATTGTCTATATACTTTACAATTGGAATCGGGCAAAATTTATAAAAACTAATCAGAATTTTTTTTCTAGAACATCACTCACACTAATATGAGCAAAAGAAAAGGGGAGAAAAACATACTAAAAATAATATAAATTACCTACAATATATAAATATTTTATTATGTATTAAATATGAATTAACAATTATAAAAGTTTACAATATTTACCAGATTAGTGTTATATTCTTTTTCTTTAAATTATTCTTAACTCTGAAATGAAAACTGTTGTTAAAAATTGTAAATGACTAAATATTTGTTTGATTATTAAAGAAACATATATAAAAATGTTTTGTTTTTGTTTATTTTTGTTGAGTTCTGTAGTACATGTACATGTGTATAAAATTTTTTCATATAATCTGACCTACCCGAGTTAATGGTTGAAGTAAACATGTTGTTATGTAAATGTCTCCAACCTTTTCACTTTTTTAGCTTCTGGTATTCAGTAAATATGGATTGTATATTGTTTAATGTACATCTCAAGAATTTTTCACTCATTTGGATATGTCACCATTTGCCAATGGAAAGCTACAAATTTTGTCCTATACTCGGCACCCAGGGCTATTGAGCAGTGAGGGATCATTTTCATGCTAGCATCTACTGAGGCATAGGACCTTAGTCTATACTGTTTCATCTGAAGGATCAGTCTACACCTTCCACGGTGGGATTTGAACCCACCACATAAGGATCAACTCCTGACCTCGTGACTCAAGAGCAGACACTCTAACCACTGTACCACAGGTGTGACGTAGGAAGAAGTGCATTCAAATTTTTAGCTCACCTGACATGAAAGCTCAGTTGAGCTTTTCTGATCACCTTGTGCCCATCCATCTGGATTGGGTTGCTCAAAACACTAGTTAAATTTGACCACTGGATAAGTTAGCTGTTGGTTTTAAAATTCTATATCTGGTCAAATATTTGTTGCTCAAAATAAAATTAGCCTCTGGTTAACTAACCACAAATGTCTGTCTTGCTGTCGTAAACCTTTCAAGAACCACTGGGCCAAGTTTAACCAACCTTGGTTCAAAGTATGCTTGGGTGAAATGGAGTTAAAATTATAAAAATGAAGGGCCAAAGCCCCTTACAAGGGAAGATAACTAAGAATATACTACTAAGATATGGTAGGATTGTTAAAAAATATTACTACATGTAAGAACCGCAGGGCCAGAAAAGCTTAGATTTATAGTGTAGATTTTTATTGTTCAAATCATGATCCCCAGGGTAGGGTAGGGTCACAATAGGGAATGCAAATTTTACATTGAAATATATAGGAAAAAATCTGAAAATCCACAATCGGAATGAGTATTTACCATTCATTTGACATAATATACAATGTACATGCACACTGTAGTTTGAATTTAATATGCTTTAAAACCCAAATGAACCTGCAACCATACATATTAGATGTGTGTAGATTTATTTAGTTTAAAAATATATTTTATTCATTTAATGAAATGGAGAAACAGCAGGCATAAATGCCTATGATCGTTTATTTGGTCCCTTATGGCTTGGGCATACTAGTGAATCAAATTGAAGATAAAAGGAAAAAAGGATAAGGGATTTTAATTTTTTTTTTTCGGTTCACTACGACAAATGTGATTCAGGTGACCATCGATATCCATTGAACTCTTGAATTTTTCCCATTTTGTTAAAATCAAAGGTTTTTGTTTTGATTGATTGATTGATTGTATACTGTTTAACGTCCCTCTCCAGAATATTTCACTGATATGGAGACGTCACCATTGCCGGTGAAGGGCTGCAAATGTAGGCCTATGCTCGGCACTTACGGCCTTTGAGCAGGGAGGGATCTTTATCGTGCCACGCCTTGCTGTGACATGTGCACGGGGCCCATTGATATTATCCATTGAACTCCCATGCATTTTCGCCTTTTACGACAAGCAAGGGGTACTGTTAAAATCACATGGCTTTGCTTTGAAGTAAAAGGTTAAGACAACGAATAGTAATAGGTCTCAAAATATCTATAAATAATACATATATGTAAAGAGGACACGATACACGGACCCTGGGGAATCCCAGAGCGGGATCAGGTGCCTGAAATGAGTTAACATCCCTTCAATTACCGGTTACACCTGTACATGTGGTGAGCCCTATGTATTGATCAGTTGAAAGGAACTTTACGCAGTCAATTTCAGTATAAAAAGGTAGACCAAGCAATGCGTATGCAATAAGTCGGTCAAAAACGATTGAAAATATTTAAGTCTAGAAAATCTAAAAAAAGAAAAACAAAAACAAAATTTAATATTTGTGGTGGTAAAAAAAATCAGTAATTTTACTTGTCTTGATATTATCCCCTCCTTCGACTCAACTTCTGAAATAAAGGTATAGCACAAATCCTGATTGGGATCGCGCGCATATCATTCCCCTTGATATTGATCATGAGTAGAATTATGCTTCCATGCTTCAAGAGAGAATACAAAACCAAAACAATTATCTTCGTTTACAAAAGAAGGAAATGAATATTTTGATCTGTTAAAAAGTTGTAAATAAAAGCAAATTTTGCATATTTGCTCTAACAACCACGCAATTTTAAAGTCAGAGAAATAAACGATGGTAAGGAACTATCCTCTCCAAGCAGAGGACTCTTAGCTCTATTACAAAGCGTGTACTTGACGCTGATTTCATCTCCCGGCATGTTATGTTTGTGTATTTATTATGTCAAATGATGCTCACATTGGATTCCCGCCAGTTATCTTGTGCGAATGCATAAATATTTCTAGGATCTTTTAAAACAGAGCTTCGTCTGTCAATTTATTGCCGATTCCCATTACATGCTTCAAAAATGTCGGTTCGTAGATTTACCGGAGCTAAGATTGTAGTGTTTGGGGGTTCTGGTGTCGGGAAAACTGGTAAGTCGATTTGTTCGTGTGTCTGTGTGTGAATTAAGCGACTTTTATGATGTTTGATTATAAGAAAATATATTGTCATTATAATTGAAATGGTTTAAAATTTTGATATTATATTTAACCCAACCTCCTTTCTGTTGGATCCTCCGGGAAAATGATAGTTTGCATTATATATATATATAGTTGAGAAATGCTATTTGGGAACTAAATTGTAATTTATTATTTGTTTTCAAGTAAAGTTCTGTATATACATACATATGAACATTATCACGTATTTGGAATGGCGCATTTCTTTTTAATTTCTACTAAATTCCACTTAATCTTTTTTTATGAAAATAAAATTAGAAAATAATAAAACGTTAGAGGAAAGTCAATATATTTCAGAAGATTTTATTTTTAGGTTGCTTTAGAACAGCTGATAAGTAACAGTTTATGCTTTTGGCGTGCAATATTTTTCTCTTTGTGTGGTGCAGAGTGATTAACGTGTATATCAACATGCTTATAATTGAAATCTTATCTTTAAGAAATATTCAGATTGGATCTTAAGCACAATTTCTTAATTTAAAAATCTATTATTATACTCTTCTTTTCACGCTTTTGACCGAACTATCAAAGAAAATATGTTTCATACATTATTTCAGGAATTTTTGTTTACACATATAGTGTAAATATTGTACATCACAAAAATACCGTACACTTGTGTATTTTTTTAGGACATGTGTGGTAAAAACAATTAAAAAAAATGGATTCCTGCATTGATAAATTCCTGTTTATTTTGGGCCTGATTTTGTTGAAAATGATGCAAAAAAATATTCAGGAATTTTAAATCGAATTATGTATGATGTTCAAATTTCTACCTTTCTGGAACCATTCTTTTAAATCTATTTTACTTATTTAAACACGTCTCAAATTGTTTTTTTTTTTTTAGTTATATTTAGTATAATATTTCCTGACAAAAGTTTGTATCATAAGTCCTTAAAACAACTTAAAATGAAGCAGTAGACAATATACTGTAGAAGTAAACAGTGGTAAAGTTTAGTTTATTTATTTTGCAGTATAACTTCTCCATATCAAAAAACCCTTTAGTATATTACTAATCTACTGCGAAAAGTAACGGTGAAAGTATATGTATTAATGTATCAAGGATCGAAGGAGCAAGATTCCAATTTCCCTCGAGCAAGTCCAATTTCCCTCGCCTTTGCCTCGGGGAAAAAAGCTTCCTTGAGGAGAACTGGATTGATTGATTTCATATTGATTGTGTGTAATTATTTTACGTCTCATTCGAAAACTTTTGACTCATGAAGAGACGTCACCATGTGAAGGGCTTCAAATTTTGATCTTTGCTCGACACAGGGTCATTGAGCAGTGGGACCAGGGATCTTTATCTTCCCAAAGCCTGCCGTGACACAGGACCTCGGTTTTTCATATCTCACCCAAAGAATTTTTACTTCAAGTTCTGAGCGCATGGTGAAGGAACAGTTGTGGCCGAAATTCAAACACGCGACCACCCGATCACGCATGCGTGCGTAAACAATCCGCCACACGGGTTTAAATTTACAAATATCATGTATCTCCTTTTCCCCAGAACTACTGTCTGGATATAAAAAGTGAGAATAAAGTCTTCATTAATACATAACGTATGATAAATATTATTCGTACTTTAAATCACGAGGCCAAAAAAAATCTTTTTCCTAATTGTTTTGCGATTGCCAGATCGAGTCTTTTAAAACAACAAATAACAAACAAAGTATACAATAAATTGTTCAGATTTGATATAAACATATCAGACCCACACGATTGAATTTATCTTACGAAACTAATTCGTTTATTTCCAAATCGCCTGTAATTTAAAAAAAAAATATAGCTTCACCACAGAGGATCTAAATCTCTGGTTTTCAGGAAGATTTACAGATAAATTAGCTGCAGGAAATTAGACGGCAGAATCAATCAATCAGGGTTTAAACACGTTTATACCTGTCGGAACAGATATGTATACATTTTGTTGTTTTAAATTGCTTGCCTTTCAAGTGTCACTGGCAATCTTTTCCTAAAGCCTAACCTTGTCTTATCAAATGCTGGAATATCTCATTACTCACAAGAATTTGATGAAGGAATTGACGCCGAAATCTAAAAATGACGTCAGGCTATAAGATGTGAGTGAGCGTGGGTGGGGAGCGAGGGGTTTGAATTTACATGTATTTGGGGTGGGGTATTTTTTCTCTAAAAAATTGAAATGTTTTTTTTTACAAACAACTTTCGTTAAAAAGTTATTGATCATTGGATATAAGAGCAATAAACGATTTGTTGGACTTCAAGATGAAATTAAATGTTGTCGGAAGCCTTTAAGCTAGGCCAGTGCAAGGGCAACATTTGTCACCTTTAGGTGCAGCAGATCATTTTTTTTCCGATTCCCGGTCTATTTTTTGGTCTTTAAGCATTAACATCGTCGCAAACCACGTCCAAAATGTACGATCCTCTCCAATTCTGGAGGGAGCTATATTCAGACTCCAGACCGTTGCTTTGAGACGATGAAGCATTAATTACAATATGTACTTTATTCTTTGCGTGTATTTCTTAACATTTTTATCCATTTTTCCTGTGTTTATTAATTCTGGAGAACGCCGAAATTCAAAGCGCAGGTTAAATATTTTAACATTTATCAATTATATTAAAATATTTTATTTAACCGAAAAAACACACCGAGATTACGAGTTTTCCGTGTGGTTCATTGTTTTCATTACAGAGTTCAATGTTAACACATATAAAGTGGTTACGGCATATGTCTCGAGCTAATGGCGTCTAATGATAGCCTACAGATATCTTTCTCTGAGACGTGATAACCCCCAGGGGATCAATGCTTCTGGTTTTATTTTGATAAAAAAAAAATGTAAACAAATTTAAGGATCAAATGATTTAATTTTTTTTTCACTTAAACCTACAGCGTGATGTCAGCAGCGTAGTCTTCGTTTAATTAATTTGATGTAAAACTTGCCTTGAAAATTAATAAATTTTCCAGAGAGAGAGAGAGAGAAAGAGAGAGAGAGAATATGTTTGTGCATGGTAAAGTGTTAGCCGATCATTTTATTTAGTAAGTTGACCATGTTGATAGTTGCTGATTACAAAGTACAGCAATCAATACTGTAGTAAATATACAGTAAAACTTGTATATAGCGAATTTGTTTTGGATCCCCCAGCTATATAAATTTAACGAATTCCTTATATAGATATAACGAATTATAGATACATTGAAGTAATTCGTAAGTCCCAGTGACTTCGTTATAACCGAGTTTTACTCTATACAATTTTTCTAGCCCTCTCTTTCTTTATCAATATTATTATAGTTTACATATACATTTTAAATTCCAATGTTTGAATTTTTCAGCATTCGTGGTTCGGTACATGACCAGAAGATATATTGGTGATTATGACAGAAATAAAGGTAGGGTTACCAGGGGCGGATACAGGGTTTGAGATTAGGGGAGGGGGGGGCGTGAATATTTTTTTTAGGCACGGGGTCTTAAGGCCCCCAGTGGGTCCAGGGGGCGAAGCCCCCGGAAGCTCCTGGATTTTCGTGTATTTTAAGAGTAATCCAGACACTATAATGGAGTATATATTCTTCATTTATTTTTGTTAAAAGTGACATACAGGTCCGGGTGTTTGAATATTAATTCTATTGAATGTTCCTCCTTGTATTGTATCATAACAAATGCCACTATAATCAGGGACCTATATACTGACGGGATTTCGTAAGTCAACTTTAATTAATTATATTTCTTAAGCTATCACATATCTCGGATCAAAACCTTTAATTATCTATCAAAAATTTATTCAAGATTTGTTTTTATCTTAATAGTAATTTTGTTTTATTCAAAATCAGCACATGCCCATGATCAGCCGTATTTCCGAGGAATCACCAATTTCGGTGTTTGTTTTCTGAATACTTAAATTATATTATAATATATGCTTTAAAATTTATTAAAAATCAATTCTAATACATAAAATGAATAAGTGATATTAATCAGAAAACACCCTATTTACTGGGAATAAAAGTAGTTTGAAAGACTTGTAGTGTTGTGCGTGATGTTTTGGGTAAATAAGCATGGCAATGAAGGAGTTCCCTATCCCGTTAGTATATATTTCCCTGCTATATAATAAACGATTTACTTACTTACTAATAGTGGTATTGACTAGTTATGTACCAAAGTACGGCATTTTTAACACGAATCATATCGTATTTTGAATGATGGTGGCTCAGGGGGCGAAGCCCCCGGAAGCTCCCGGGTTTTTGGTGTATTTAAAAGAGTTAAACCAGGCACATTAATAGTGGTATTGGTTAGTTATGTACCAAAATATGGCATTATTAATACTAGTCATATCATAATTTGAAAATTTTAGGGGGGCGTGCCCCCCCCACGCCCCCCCCCCTTAAATCCGCCAGTGGTTACACAGGATAAATAAATACTGATAAATTTAGAATGCTTTTATTATCGTTTTACTATAATTCTATTTATTTACATGTATAATAAATTATACATGCATGTAGATTGGTCAGTCATCTCATGATCTATAACGTTTGATTTAAAAATCGGTCATAAAGTCCGAGGTAAAGCCCCCAAAACCTATCGACTAGTAATTGGATGTTTTATATAGGTTTCCCCTGCTTTGCCCCACTCCCCCTTTCAATCTCAGCAGCGTCTCTTTTTTCATTATTTTTTTTGTCAAAAAGTTATATCTGGTTGATCGCTGAGAGATTAATAAATGTTCATATGTATAAAAAAAATCAATGACAGGTAGATGTCTGTGCATAATATAAAAATTATTTTTTTCTTTCTGAGTTACTTCGAGCTGAAACTCAAATATCGTCTGCAGCAAGTCACCATTACATTTACCGTATTTTTTCCCCGTTTTTACTCAACCATTTCTATAAATATATCTCCCTGTTCTTCAAATAAATTCCTGGCTATCAACAAATCCTGTCAAAATTATTCCGTACACCAATTTTTATTTTATGGTAAGATATACGAGCATGTGTTTGCTACCACCAAGATAAGAGCAAAAACATTGTACGTCCCGTTTGTGTGTTTGAAGTCGAGATTTTACAATCAATTACAAATATAATGTTTCTATCAATAGAATCAAAGAAATAATAATGATATGAAACACATGTCCGATCTTAAGTGCATTTCCACACGCGCACCAATAGAATTTTTTTCGTTGCCACAAATATTATAATTCCATCTCTCTTCTCGTTTTTGATTTATGAATGTACGGAAATATGAAATAATTCTTCATTTATTTATGTTAATCTTGAGTTCAGTTCGTTTTCAAACTTTAATTTTCTTTCATTCCTTTGCTTTCTTTTTGCGTTTTTATTAAGTTTAATATGTGGTTATTGTTTTGATAAAAAAAAAAAATAATAAACATCCCATAGTCAAAACTAATCAACAAGTTGGTGTTACTGTAAGCATTTAGTTTCTGAAGTGTCAAAATGTTGAAATCTAGCATGTTTCTTATCCTTTTGCTTGTCAATAAAATATGTTCAAAACAAATCTAGCATCAAAATTCGTTTTAAACAAATTTATGATGTTGTAAGATTCACTCTTGACTGAGTTGAGTGACTTGTTTCCTTGTTTTGATCAATATGTTTTAAATGATTTTTTTCCGATGAGATAGTTATAGCTATCTCGAATTAATGTTTTCAGTGCTAACATAAATTTTAGACTCCTCGAAAAATATCATAAAAAGATGACACATTTATATAACAAACTAAAGCTCTTGTAAGAAAAAGTAGACTTGAAAAGAAGGTTGATTTTTATTTAATTTTCATTTACTTTAAATTTAAAGTACTCAGTGTCTTGTATTTCGTTCTTTACTTTATTATTTGAGGGGGTTGTCTCTATAACCTATTTTATGTTATGTACGCCAAAACTATCCTAGAGCTATGACTGTACCATCATATTTCCTTCGATCTTCACCTCTTAGAACTAGAAAGAGAAAAACGAGAAATTTCACAATTTTGACATTTTAATTCATCATGTACATTCAAAACAGATACCTCCCCCATTCCCCGAATATATATGTCAGATGGGTTTTGACATATGTCTTTAGATTATCTTGATATATGACTAATTGTATATATTTTGTTTCTATTTTTACCAGAAATGCTTTATAATCACAAAATACCATCGCCACGTGATGACGTCACACTCGAGATCATTGATACGGCGGCCAAAGTAAGTAGACCTCTTTCATACGGAAGGAAATTCCCAATTTTATGGCGACTTACATAAATAAGTCTTTTATAGGCAATAAACTTCTATTTAGTGAGCAATTAAACATCAGATTCAGTAATTTACGCCTGATCTTAATGGTTTTATTTCTCTTGGATTTATTTTATAAATAGACGCATACACTTAACTATAAGCAATATCTGTCAAGGTTTTCTACATGGAACTATATTAATTAAGATACGAAATAAATTTAAAAATTTCAATCTATCAAGTTTATTATATACTCAACAAAAAAAGAAACGCATATTCAGATTAAACATGAAAATCTAATTTTTCACCTGAGCCGAAGGCTTAAGTGAGCTTTTCTGATCAAAATTTGTCCATTGTCTAATTTGTCTGTCGTTGTTGAAGTCGTCGTCGTTAACTTTTCACATTTTCATCTTCTCAAGAACCACTGGGCCGATTTCAACCAAACTTGGCACAAAGTATCCTTGGATAAAAAGGAATCAAGTTTGTACAAATGAAGGACCAAGCCCTCTTCCAAGGGGAGATAATATAATGGAAAATTAATAGCATCTTTTAAAAATCTTCTCCAGAACCATTGGGCCACGATTGATGAAACTCGTGTGGGAGCATCCTCAGGTAGTGTAGATTCAAGTTTGTTCAAATCATGACCCGGGGGCATGGCGGGGCCACAATGGCTGATCAAAGTTATACATCGGAATACATATAAGGAAAAATCTTTAAAAATCTTCTCCGGAACCACTAGGCCGGGAAAGATGAAAATCACGTGGAAGCATCCTCAGGTTGTGTAGATTCAAGTTTGTTCAAATCATGAATTTGGGGGTAGGACGGGGCCACAATGGCCGACCAATAGTTTTACATATAAATACATAGGGAAAATCTTTAAAAATCTTCTTCTACAGAACCACTAGACCAGGAAAGATGAAACTCACATGGAAGCATCCACAGGTAGTGTAGATTGTGACTTTAGGGGTAGGGCGGGGCAACAATGGCTGATCAAAGTTTTACATAGGAATATGTAAACATTTTTTAAAATCTTCTTCTCAAGAAAGATTGGTCTAGGAAAGATGAAACTCATGTGGGAGCATCCTAAAGTAGTGTAGATTCAATTTTGTATAAATCATTTCCCCCGGGGTAGGGTGGGGCCATAATGGCTGATCAAAAGTTTTACATAGGAATATATAGGGAAAATCTTTTTCAAAAAATTCCCAAAAACATTGGGCCAGTAAAGGGAAAACTAATGTGGAAGCATTCTCAGGTAGTGTAGATTCCGGTTTGTTCAAATCATGACCACTAAGGATACGACGGGGCCACAATGGCTTATCAAAGTTTTACATAGGAATACCTAGGAAAAATCTTTTTAATTTTTTTTCTCTAGATCAGCAAAGCTATGGATGGTGATATCTATATGGAAACATCCTCAGTTAGAGTTAATTCAACATCTGGGGTAAGGTGGGGCCATAATGGACAATCAAATCTTTACATAGAAATACACTGTACGTATATAGGAAAAATCTTTAAAATTCTTCTTCTCTAGTATGGCGAAATTATGTATGTATGCTTTATTGCTATAATGACAATCTCAAGTAATAAAAAAAAATAAATCCCCTCCCCCAACAAGAATACTTTTCAATACTGAGCTGATTAGTGTTTTTTAACTAGCCCATGTGCTCAGATGAGCGATGTGGCCCATGGGCATCTTGATTTTTAAAAGTGATTTCAGAGTGTGTTGTGATAAATATCAAACATGTCCTTTGTTGCGAATTGAAAAGTCAAGTTGATGTCATTTTCATCGCTCCCAAATTCTAGGGGCATAACAATATGTACACTTTGCGACGTCTCAGCAGTAGTAGGTTTCCAATATACGGATGTCATGGATGAATACCATCTCCTTTCATTCTCTTGCGAACAATTTGTGTACTTTTATGCTGATTTTTTCAACCATTCATTAAAAACACTATTTTCATAAACATAATTAATCAACGGAAATAATTCAACACTTTGGTTTTAAAATCTCATGGTGTCCTTTAAATGGATCACAGGTATCCAATGAAAAAAAAGTAGTTGTTCCATATTTAGTTTTTTTCAAAAATTTCTTTGATAAGTAAAGCAATATGCATTTATTTTTTTGTTGAGTATATTTCTTTCCATTTCTTTGTATGATGGAAAGATGAAACTACAAATTATAATTTCAGGTAAATTATCCTTTAATTCTGCAATTGGTAATCCAACATATACTTATATAGTGTTAAGAAAAAAATATATTCAAAATCATATATTAGTTTTGAATATTTTTAATATTCCAAACAACCAAATAAATTTGAGTTACCATATCCATATTGAATTCCAAAACTTCATAAAAATCCTTAGATACAAAGATGTATAGAAGATACAAGTAATATCGACGACGTATTGTTATTAACAATTATTTCCATTCTAATCTGGACACGATATATAAAAAATGTCTTGCTGAGTTTTACATAGAAGAAACCACGATTTCTGACATATTTTTTTATACTTGGATATTTTACTTGAGAAAAACGTTAATGGTAATAATAAATTTTTGACCCATAGTATAATAATTATAACACAAGGTATCTAACTCCTATTTATTAATTTGAATACCCCCTCCCTTAAAATCGCGCTCATTTACACTTTCAGAGGAAATGCACCGGTAAACTGTTTATACCTAAGTCATCTACGATAATTTATCTACACAACAATTTTTGGCTTGCTTTTCCTTGCTTTCTTTACACATCTCCGTAAACAGTGTCAAAACTTTATTCAGCAGAGTGTGAAAAGTCCAACTATACTGACTATCATAGAACGGTATATGTTAATCTCGGGCAAAAAGAGAAAAATTAAAGAATGCGTGGGTTTAAAAATTTAGTTCCAGATTTTAAATATTGCATCGAATAAATAAAATTTCATTAAGTGTCTTATTTTCCATATAACACTACAATGTTTTTCCGATGTAATTTTAGAAACAAAATTGAAGCCAATCAAATTCAAGGTCTAATTCTTTGCCGGAGACTATGATATACGATTCTATGGTATAGTTCGACTTTTCCACTCTGCGAGTAGAGTTTTGACGCTGTTTACGGAGATTAAAGAAAGCAAGGAAAAGCAAGCCATATATGGTTGTGTAGATAAATTATCGTAGATGACATAGGTATAAACAGTTTACCTGTGCATTTCCTCTGAAAATGTAAATGAGCGCGATTATAAGGGAGGGGGCTTTACATCGGTGTAAATCGGAGTTAGATACCTTGTGTTATTATTATGCAATTGGTCAAAAATTTTATTACAGAAACAAGTGCCTGTGAGCAATATACTTAGTCTAGTACCTTCATCACTTGCATACGGGGTTTATATCTCTCAGTTTATTCGATTTCCAAAAGCATGCCCTGCGTATGAGCAATTTCTAAAACAAGGTAAATTATTAGCAAACAGGTTGATGAAACAAGAAAATCAGAAGTATTGTTTAAAGTCATTTCGTAAATTCTAGGTTCGATACAATGACCTATTCAGCAAATACAATATACTAGTATATGCTCATCATCATTCTTTAACTTGCAGGACAACGAAAACAGAGAAAATCACATAAAATGGGGCGATGGTTTTGTGTTTATTTACTCCATCACGGACAGAAAGAGTTACGAGTATATTAACACATTAAAAGATATGCTGGTCAAAATCAGGGGCCCGGATATGCCCGCTATAGTTGTGGCTAACAAATGTGACCTACTTTCTGTGAGGCAGGTTGAGGATTCTGAAGGAGTAACACTAGCCGAACAACTCAACTGTCCAAAATTTGACGTTTCCGTCGCGGAGGGATATTCGGGTGTGTCAGAAGCCATGGAGGAACTTGTTATTCAGTTAAAGCGAGAGTTTGTCAAAAACTGCTCACAAGCCGCAGTGACCGCTAATGACAAAACCAAATCCAAACTGTTCACATTTAAAAAGGGATTCAAGAAAAGAATCAGTCGAAGTCATAGTGACACGGTGTAATTTTTTTATATAGACTATTTAATGATGCATTGACATGCAGCGCCTATCCACAAAATCATTTAATACATGTGTATTGTTTAAAAGCTATTGTTCCAACTTTATTCATTCAAAATCGATGATGAAGAGAAAACGTAAGTGTATTCAGGTAAAACTAAACGATAACTAATTTTTTTTCTGAATTCAAAGTTTGTTTATTTGTTTGTTTTTTTTTTGTTGTTTTTGGTTTCAAGAGCAGCTATAGAACATGAGCTGCAAGTTACAGTTTGAAGAAAAAAAAATCAACTTATATAAAAAGGATTTCACAATTCAAAGAATATATGTATATTGAAGCAATGACAAAAGGAAAATAGTGAGTAACTATAACATTTTTTTTTTATCATCATGAATGTACAGACATTAAGTGCATTTGTAATACATAAAATATTTGACTGTAATTGTATACAGACATTTATACTGACATCAATAAATTTGGCACTTGATTATATAGTATACACATCTGCAAAAAAGGAAATTCACCACTCAATGTTTTTGTACAATGACAATAAAATTTAATAGAAAATCACAGCTTTGTTTGTTATGAGCAAGACACAAGAAACGGATAAAAGCAAGAGACTCACGGGTCTTGTGGGTCATATCAGCATCACGTAACACCTTTCCAACATTTGAATTTGTTTCAGGCCGTTACATTCAATATTTTAAAAGAGGAACCATTTATCATAACAACTATACACTTAGCATGTTCACTTTGGTTACATAATTCCCATAAGCAGAGAAGAAAAAAATGCATTTCAACTATAATCATGCAGTACTATATGTAATAATTAGTGGGGCCCTACCAAACAGGAACCAAAGGCCCAGACCCTGACCGGTTTCATAAATTTTATATTTTTGTTAAAATGGCACCCTTGTTCAACAAAAATGTCTGAATAAAACCGAGAGAAACATTTCCAAGCATAAATTAATTAATTTTCTGTATTTCATGAGAGTCTCTACGGTACTCCTGACCCGGAGGCCTTCAAATTAACAATTCATTATAGCTACCTGTAGTTCATCCGGGTAGTTATCACTACGGGTAGTCAAAGTTTGGGAGCTGGGGAGAAGATTTTGAAACAAGTAATGCATTTTAATTATATTATTTATATAGCCCATTAATTCTTACACCAGAATCCCTAATCCTGAAGCCATACAATTAACAATTTTGGAAGAAGCACCCCTCATTTTCAATGAATTATGCATTCTCACTATATAATCTATATATACATCAGAAACCTGATCCTGTGGCCCTGAAATTTCAAAATTTTAGAAGAGGCACTATTGTTATTATAACTGGGTACATGTATGTCGCTAGTTTGTTTAATACCAGAGACCGAGAAGAAGATTTCAAAAAAATTTATGCATTTTCATCATTTTTACCCTACGACCAAAACACATGCTCCATGGGCCACTGAAATCACATCCATTTGTAGAAAATTATCAATTGGCCATATGTTTGTCTAATACCCAGAAGCAGAGAAGATTTTTAAAGAAATACTTGTAACGTCTTTATAATCTATATAGCCTCGTAATGTTACTAGAACCTCTGTGTGTCCACGAAATTCAGGACTCAATTCTTATTACAATCAAGCAATCAGAATGTTTGATGTCAAGGATCAGGAGGAGAGAGTAAAGATTGCATTAATTTTAGATGTTTTGGTGCCACACCAAGCCCTTTTCCATACAGGGGGGGGGGCATAAAATTCACAATTTTTTCTCCTTTATCCAGATCAAATTCTGTTTGCCAAAACTGGCTGAGCGGTTGAAGAAAGAGAAGAAGCTGAAAATCTTAACGCACAAAAAACGGATGACAACAGTTAGCAATTATGAATTCGTATGACCTAAAAAAAGAATGAAGATACGAAATCCTTGTAAAAAGTGCAAATCAAATATCATATTTGTAGCAGTGAAGTTATGAAAGATATTCACAGGAAACTTTTAAAAAATTATTTGAAAACAAATATTGTCAGGGCATCTTGTGAAAAAGTAAAGGACACACGTGTAAAGAACTTCAATATCTTGGAGTTATTTGAGAGGTAGTATGGCAATACACAATGGTAAAGAGATTTCAGAAAAAAACTCAATTGTTTAACGTAATACAATCACACAATGGTAATATTATCCCAATCAATACTGAACTATTCAACATGAAAGACAAGGACTTTTAACTTGTGTCGTATTTCATAATTTCGCCCGTTCTCTCGAACTTAATGGCTAATTAAGTTGTTTGTATCCTATGGGTGCAATATTCTTGGCATTCTTCAAGTTTCCAAAATGTTCTTCATATTCGTCGTCGATACTGACTTTGTTCTACAAGAATTTAAAAAATAATGATTACTCTCATTAGTAATACAAAGTCTGCAATCAGAATAACTAGAATTACATTGAAAATTTGGAATTAAGTCTTAACAGTAATATCGAATTCCAATCTATAGCGAAATGCTGCTCAGCCATTTTAGATCGGACCAAAACCATATGTACTGTTAAACACAATTAAGTCTAAAGATCTCGAATGTGATGAGATAAAAATAAAATCGAGATATCCGAAGGGTTTATAAGACTTTAAATATTAAATGGAAATTAAGGTAAAATTAACATGATAAAGACAATCGTGAACAGTGTCTTAATTTATACATGATTCTAGACTATTTCGTATATCAAATAAATGAGATGAATCGAACTATCATTCCTGCACATTGTGACTCTTCAAAAATGTGTCTCATCAAAGTGTTTTCATTTTTCATTTGCGCATGTGCATTTCTGTGTGTATGTATGTGAAATAATAATTTGAGACTCACTTTCTTCCATTGGTTGTAAACCTACATATTAAGTTATTCATTCCTGTACACTGTCAAGTGCATGTAATGACATTTTTCAATAACAGAAAGCAAATTTCACGTCGTACTATTGTCTATTTCAATCCTACATTGTAAATGTACTAATGTAATTGAATCAATCCATTCATCTACGATGATATTAAAGCTATTTCCATATCATTGTTTCAAGAATTAAATTCCCTCTTACAATCATACAAAGTATAATTCAAAATAATATATCTCAATTACTGACCTTTTTGAATCTGTGCCTTAGGGCTCCAGCCACCGTGACGAGTGCAGCGAAGAGAAGTGCCCCGGCCGTCAGCCCGGCTATAAGTGCAGTTTTGTCAGAAGATTCTGTCGTCATAAAAGTAAATTCATGAGATTTAAGTTCCTTGTGGCACACGGAGAAGAAAATTAAATTGTTCTATGGCAAAATTAGAGATAAAATCATCAAAATTTTCTAACATCATAATTTGATTTTTTTCCCAGTTATGCAAATTTTTAATGAGTTAACTCATATGTCTTTTTATTAGTTAACTTATATTGTTAAAAATAAACATTTTTGCGACGCGTCAAATTTTCGTTCATTGAGAGAAATATATTGGTTGATGGGGATTTGTTCATGAAGATATTTTGAGTAGTATTTTATCTTTAAAAAATTGTGGTTGGCAATTCTTGTGTCTCTTCATACAGAAAGTCAGGGATGAAGAGTAAAGCAGAATCAGAAACAATTTTTAGGACACCACTGTGACACCTTAATGTACCTTGAACATTACAATAAAAACATCATTCTATATTCTACATTTATTCATTTTGAGGACGATTTTTATAATTCTTTCCGTCAAAAGCGACATGTACTTTAAATTAAGTTTTTAGATATATAATTTTTATTCGACGCCATAAAATTTAAAAAAAATTGTAGAGTTGAAAAACATTTTTTCTGAATATCTTCTACCACAAAAAAAAAACAAATTCCAATAAATCTCAGTTCTTTGTAATTTTAGAGGAGATATTCAATGTTATAGTTTTGTATTGTTAAATTCAAATAGGTAATAAAACATGAATTGTAATAAATATTTTGACTTAAATAGTTCCAACCAAACGGTTACCTTTTTGCACCAAAATAGCACATTTGGGGTATTAAAAATCTAAGTGGATATTAGATTGGTTCCTTGTATCAAGCTTTTTATGACTTATTTGATTTGAAGTATCGTATACTTTAAAATAATAAAGAAAAAAATCTGAGATGTCAATTCTAAAAAAGCAGCCAAAATTTACAGTTTTGGGGCAACAAAGTATATTTAACTCAAAAAATCTGCATTTCTTGGCAAGACCTGTTGATTGAATGTGAAAATTGTGCTATAAATAGGTAATAAAACATGAATGGTCATAAAAAATGTGAAGTAAAGAGTTCCAACCAAGCTTTATTCAAAAGACCTGATGACATACCTTAAGAGTTTATCTTTGCACAATTTTATTGTCTATTTAACATGTTTATAAGATAGAGCAAGACTACATGTGTGTAAGGTTCCAAAATAAACAAGATATCAGAGAAAAAGAATTTTGAAACCGTAAGTGATTGATGAGCTTAACGAAATTACATGTTAAAAGGTAATATTACATATACATGTTATGGACAAAAAGAAGCCAAATGACTGCCATTCCTTTTTATAGGAGTTTATAAATATGTCTAATGTGAAGATATTAAAAAATACGAAAAAAAATTCCAAAAGAATTTTAAAAATGAAATCTATCTCCCCTTTAGAGCAATTGAAAACAATTTTTGTTTATAAAAAGGTAAAGAGGTAGACTCACGTACTCCATAAATTGGCCCTGTCAATAATATACTAATTAACCGACCAAGTCCTTACGTCCTACTTCGATCATCAACATAAAGTAGAGACTTAGTGCTTTCATTTTCTATAAAAAAAATTTTCCTCTTAGAGTCCAAGTCTGTTAACTCAGGCGTTGTGAAACTGCAATAATCTTGATTTTTGAAGAAAATAGGTGAAATTGAGCATCTTCAACTTTTGATAAAAATATAAGCCCACCCTGCGATCAAAAAATTCTTTCATGGATTAGAATTTTCTAAAACAGTTCTTTCATTTTATAATTCAACATTTTAGATCAGAGGTTGGGGGCTATGCAAAATATTTTTAAAACAGCTTAAATTTTTGGTCATTTTTAACGAATATTTCAAGATTTGAGGAAAATGACGAAATTCATGACGTCATAATTCATAGACAAGAGAAAAAGTTACGTCATTTTTATTTGATATGAAGTCACCAAGAGTTTAGTGAAATAACGTATTTTTAACTAAAACTGAGTAGTTCTTTTTTCAGAAATTTACAGGGCCAAAAATGGACCAATGTGAACTTTCTTCTTTATTTTACCACTGAAAATATCAACGTCAAATCCAGATTTAATATTAAATGCATTGATAATGTCAAATCATAAGGAAACTCTATGTTTTAAAGATAATATTTTGATTGCAATAAGAAATATACCATCAGCTTTTGATTGATCCACTTGCGGGGAAAAATCAGATGGCACGTTTGACGTCGTAGAAGATGACACGCTCGATGTCGTAGCTGACGTTGGACCATTTATAGAAGACAATATAGTACTTCCAGTAAAGACTTCAGTACTATTTGGGGAGTGTACAGTTATTGATGTCGTCGTGGATGTTGGGAGGGACTCTCCACACGAATACACAGAGGAAGCATTTCCACAGGTCAGTGTCAGATCAGAGGTACTGTCTACAGCTATCAAGAGATGGCGGAAAATAATGTGAACATTTCTATAGGCCAGTATCAGATCCACTTTCTACAACTTTAAAGAAATTGAGGAAAATAATGTGAATATTTCTAAAGGTCAATGTCATATCAAAGGTACGTACTGTCTACCGCTATAAAGACATAAAAAAATGAACATTTCTATTATAGGTCAGTGTCAGATCAGAAGCACTATCTATCGCTATAAAGAAATGGAAGAAAAATAAATTGAACATTTCTAAAGGTCAAGCCAAATCAGAAGCACTGTCTACCGCTAATATAAAAAAAATGGAAGAAAATAATTTTAAAATCTTGCATCCTCATCCGTCAAAGCCTTTAAATTTTATGGTTTAAATGTCGTAAACGTATATGCAGCTTAGGAAACTACATGTATAATAGTTTGAAGCCAACACTAAAACATTTCACTTAAAATAAATTTTGACGATTGCCTTTAAAATTTCTTTATAGACTTTAAGGCATTAAAACAAGGAAGACTGTTTGCAAGACTATGTTTGAGTTTTTTAAAAAAATAGTCGACGTCTTTTATTACAAAGACAACTTGATGAAATAAAGCTGTCAAAAGGATGTTATATAATCTGGAAATAAAATAAGTATACTTTACCTTTAATGTATATTGCTTTATCAAGAACTTACAGTAAATATTCAAAGGCAAACAAACACACCTTGCACTGAAATCCAGAAGTTTCCTTCGATTCCAGCAAATGTATTATCGTATCTTATACTTAAGGAATCAGATTGGCTGGTATAAATAGTCGTCAGGGAAAACCCATTGTTTTGATCACAATCAATGGAGGTTTCTAATCCTCCCTCATTAATAACAAGTCTTTGGTAACAAGAACCACTGACGTCCTTGTGAAGACGTAAGTCTAAAAGCTCTATCTTAATAGTCGAACTTTTAGAAGAGGAAACAGAGCACACGCATCCAGAGGAAGTTGCGCAGTCGCCACTTTTGGCAGGATATCCGTTATTCCAAACGTATAGTTGATTTCCATTATTGATTGTCGAAGTGCAAATATTTGATATCAGTGACTCTACAAAACAATTAAATGATAAAGGAATGAGATTATATATTGGTTGTTGACGAATTACATGTAACAAGTCATATGAAAAGAAAATGGATTTTACATATTGTTTCTTTGCATCAAATTAAAATACTAATAAATCAAAAAAATTAATTTAATAAATAAATACTTAAAAATGTATTATATTTAGCGTGTACGATATTTTGCAGAAGTCGGTTTGTCAACAAGTTAGCATAAATTTGATTTAGCACATTTTAAGTGCTTTAACATTGCAAGACACAGAGCAATGTTCTAACACTAAGTGAAGCGTGCTTTTCGCCAAAAGCGATTATTGGTATTAATAAATGAATTCACAGTCAAATGTTATACTAGCTTTAACAGTAAATATGAATTTAAGAATGCTTACTCTTTATGCAGTGGTAATGCTGCCGCATGTAGTTTGTTTTCGTCATGAAAACACTCTGGTTGCAATTTTGTTCTGTTCCGTTCCATGCCACCTGGATCTTACAAGTTAGCCGACCGACACAGTTCGTGTAATGCACACCTTTATAGGAATCTCCATAGTAACGCCATCCACAATCCGTTGATTGGTTGTTATAGCGACAACAGAAAGAGTCATTACGATTGATTGTTGTTGATTCTTGTGGGCATGCGTGGGATTGCAATTTTGCAAAAGTAAAAACATCCCGGATGTAGAGAACTTCGCTGGTGTTACAGCTAGGCTCCAAGAAATCGTCAACTGTGATTCCGTAACAAGCCTCGAAAATCTGTTCTGCGGAGTCAATAGCTTAAATTGAAAAGAAACAAAGTACCAGTATATTGTAATCAAGATAGAAATAAGTGGAAAGGCTCCCTCTTTCAGAAAATACTCTGCTTTATACATATGATTTATGATTACACTGAAAATACATAATACTTCTATTCAAAGAGATATTAGCCGTGACGGTCTTTTTATAACCAAAGAAGAATTAAATACATGGTGTTTAATTGGCACAATAGATATTCTTGATTGTTACTTTTAGCAACAATTCGGCAGCAAGTCAATACTTGTTTCTAATATATTTCTTTTAACTGAAATTTGTTATAATTCCAAATAGTTTTATTTTTCATTCTTTTTTTGGACTTGTTTGATTGTTTATTCGTGTTTGTTTAGTTTTTTTCTTCTTTTATGGAGAAGATGTTTTCAAGAGTCATTAATATACTCACCGTCAATAGAAACGCAACACCCTAAGTTTAGCTTGAAAATTATATACGGGTTATAACTATGTAGCAGAAAAGTAAGGGCATCTTTTACTTTGCCAAATCAGCTATTTTACGGTTGAATGAATTTCTTTCCATTACCGGAAGTTCCTTTTTAGCCCTCTTAACAGAATTCAAAATTTTCCATTTTTAATAAAATTTTAACAATATTTTGGGTTTCCAAGGTTTTGAAACTGTTAATCATAAGTATTGTACTAAAAGGCCGGGGAAAAAATCCTTCTTTCTTAATGCCTAGGTCACATTTCCCGGCCGGTAGCCGTAGACCGGTGGTAATCCGTGGTGTTAGCGATGCCCTAACATCGGTCCACGTCAGCCTACTAATCCTTAAAGTATCAGTCACATTATCCAGCGAAGGGTATACGATGGGCAATCAATGCTTTTTATGATAAAAATGGCCTGGTTGCCGGCTGGACTTACAAAGGCCCAGCGATGCATTGCTAATCAAAAACGATGTTCCAGGATAATCGGCCGATGTATATTCCATCGGTCATACATTGGTGAACATTGTTCGTACATCGGGCGACTACGGGCCAATGTTTGGTCGAAAA